CATATTTAATATATGTAGCAATTTAGTCATTTTCATTTCATTGATTTAAACACTTTATTCTACAACATACATTTAAAAGAATGAGTATTTGTTGGTAGAAAGACTTAGTTTTATTACAGTAAGAAACCATAAGTAATACACTTTTTAATGTATAAGAGCTTTTATATATTTATTTAAAAAACTAGTAGATTTAAAAAAGTTTATTAAGCTTAAATGACGTAGGAGCCATATATATTATCTCTATTACATCTGATTATAATGATATTTAAAATAAAAAGAAAATTAATATATAAATAGTATGCTATGTTATTTTCTTTTTATATATATTAAACGTAGCCTCTGTATATATCTAGTCTGTGCTCGTCCATCGATCGCCAAGGATGACTTGTAAACGATCTTCAGCTTATTTTAATACAAGCTGTAATACATTGTGTTAACACAATTTATTCACGCAACGGTACATCTTACAGCTTTTATATTTTAATAGCTTATCTGTGCTGCCATTATAGAAAGTTTAAATATCATTGTAACAAAAATACAATAAAATATGTTGTTTCTTCATTTATCTTTCAATGTTGTAAAAATTATCAATGGTAATAAAAATTTTATAGTGTATTATTGACGTAAAATTATGTTTATTTGTAATATTTTTCTCATATAATTGGTTATTTTACATATGTAAATACATTAATTACCTATCAGTGCAATAAGGTGTAATTAAAACAAACAAAATTTATCTAGTTGTTTTATTAAAGTTACATGCATTTATTATGTTATTGTAATTTTATTATTTTCTTAACAAAAACTTTCCATAAGGCCATAAAATAACCTGGTATTTTTTTCTTGATTATAAACATGTCATAGAAAATATTACAGTTAATTAAAAAATAAATGACAGCAAACAATGACATTGACATTTGACACTTAGTGGATCGGCTATTTTTTTTTTGTTTTAACCAAAAGGCTTGTGCACAAACTGTACAGTTTTAAAATTCCGTTCCCATCGACGCTCCGGCCGATTGGGCCCGGGATGCTTCATTTTATTCTCATTTTTGTTCATCCGGTTAACTAGGATTTTATACGTATTAAAGGATTTTTTTAAGATATGCATGTTACTATGGAAATAGTTATAATGAAAATAAATAAAATTGCTTATTGTTTTATGTAAGCATCAAAAATTTGTTATTTACAAAAATATATGTAAACTCGTAAATACACTTTCTACAAGATGGTTGTACATACTGTCTTCGTATTAAGAGTTAATATATAATTAACTAGCTTTTGCCGCGACTCCGTCCGCGTGGAATAGTGACTTCCGGCAGAATTTTGGTTCTTCCCACATAGTTCCCGTTCTTGCGGGGTTTTCGGAATGGTCGAGTTCCTAAAATAAAACCTATGTTTTTTTTTTATTCACAATGAAGTACTCTTAACCAACAACATATTTCTTTATTTATTGGAATAAAGATTAATATTATTATGTTGATACAACTTAAACAAATTATTTCGACCAAATTAGGTACCATAAAAACGGTTTTTGTGAGTTAATCTTAAAAGATAGACATATACTGTCGCGGACTGTTTTTTAGATCATTAAAAGGGCTATTATTCTTTAAAACATATTTTTTGAGTATCTTGAACCGTTTTCACGGCGCACGCAACGGAAGGCTTCAAAGATGAAATAATTTCTCCCGTTTTTTACATATTACTATATCTTTGCTCCTATAAGTTGTAGCGTGATGTTATATAGCCTAAAGCCTTCCTCGATAACTGGACTATCCAACACAAAAAGAATTATTCAATTCGAACCAGTAGTTTCGGAGATTAGCGCTTTCAAACAAACTCTTCAGCTTTATAATATTAGTATAGATTTGGATTTTTAAGAGCGATGTGAAAATATATTTTTTAACTTTTTTTTTTAAGTACTTGTAAGTATGTATGAACTTTTATATGCCTGTATACTTACATGCATACTATTGAGCTACTTATGAAAAGATTAAAATCCAATATAAAAAATAAGAAATTATAGTAAAATACATTGTTTTCTTTAAAAATAAAAATAAAATCTAAATAATATTATTTAACTTTCAACTGTCTAATAGAGTTTTATGAATACATGTAACCTGATTGAAATATTTTATAAATGTGTTAAGTTTTAAAGTTAAACAGAGTATAATGTTCATTAATTGTCGCGTTCGGTTTAAGCTCAATGACGTTAAATGAGCAAAACCACAAAACGCTAAAATGGCGCTCGCCGCCTCACCATTATATTGATTTCGACGCCATTAAAAGCGGACCGGAAATTAAAAAGAAATAAAAACATATTGCTTTCCCGCGCGCTCCGAACTTCACCCAATTTGTACATGTTCCGTTTGCGAGCTCCGGCATTTTGGTTAATCGAAAACGTCAAACACGAATATTCATACGAACTGGAATCGACCTTATTACTTAAACAATAAGTCATAAATTAGTATGTACATTTTCATTTATCCGTAACAATATTTGGCTGCCACGTGTAATAAAGGGTAGGTATATTTTATTTGGCGTGCCATTATTGTGATATGATTATTATATTATCAGGCGATAAACGAACATTAAAAAAAAACAGATATACGGCCGGCATTAAGACCTCTATTGGTTTATTTAAACTAATCATTTTAATTTGATATTTGTTGCCAGATGTTAGATTTATATGTACATAGGATATACCGCGGATTTGTCACAATATAATAATTAGCGATATAAAAAATGCTTTGTAGCTAATTTTACAAATTAATTATATTGTATATTATGATACTTTTCAAAGTTTAGTAGATATCCGTACTGATAGGTATCTATACTAATTAAGATGTAAGTATCTCATCTATATCTATAGCTAGATAAGTAGCCTTTTTAGTTAGTTTTATAAATCCTAAATGATAAAAGCTTATCACAAGATCTAGAAGAATATCCATAATGAGGTAAAAAAATTGATATATTAATATTTTCATTTCAACCCACTAGATAAATAAAAACAAAATCAAATACATATTTTTGAACTAATTAAAAAAAAAAAAAGAAAAAACTGAAATAAGGTACTTTAAAATTTAACATTTCAATGACATCCATCAAGTCTGACAGATGTAAGTCTTTGACAGAAACAAATCTAGATTTAAAAAAACTACTCATTACTGGCAGAATATACTGTATACTGTAATATTTTAAACCACCAACAAAAAAAACTATGTCATTCTAAAAGTATAAATTGACAGTGAAGTATCCAATATTTAATATCTGTGTAATAAAAATGTCCAAAGATAATACAAGTGGAGCTAATCACGAGTATTGCCGTCACACGAGCGCTACACACTAAACGCATTAGATGATAGCGATTAATGGATAACAAATATTTGTTCTGAATATCTCTGAGTACTTACGATGGCTTTAATGTAGCCATAAGCTATAATAAGCCTTTTAATGGTTTCATTTATACCACACATTATAAAAGCTATTTGTGAAACTCAAAGAAACATAGACAATATAATGTTTTGTTGTCTCTGATTTGTGTTAAATATTTTTATGACTAGAGCTTAATTTTTGAACATTATTTGAGCTGGAATAGAATCTTCTAGAAGCAGATATAACAATTCATTGCACTTATATACCTAAATACTAGCCATCCCCTACGACTTCGCCCCGTTTTTGCTCTTTTTGGGCGGCCCCCGAGGGTTGCAATGTGATTTTATGTAGCCTTTATATATCCCTACATACTCTATTACAAAGTAAAACCCTCGTTAAAAACCGTTCAGCATTACCAAACTTTACGAAGACAGGCAGACTGATGTAAATAATGTTATATGTTCATATGTATACATGAAAACCACAAGCACTTGAGAAAACTAAATAACATTAAAATCACAAACAAACACATACATTTTATTTATATACAACAGTTTTTTTATTAATTTGTTAAAAATAAAATGTTATCCGAGAGATAATGAAAAATTTTGAACAAACTATATTAAGCCATAATTAAAAGCTTAAAGCACCTCACTTATCAATTATATCTCAAAATTAAAATACGTCTTGATAAAAACGGTTACAACAACAACGGTTACAAGGCAAAACCCTTATTTTAATACTATTTAATTTTATTTGATTACTTTTTCAAATTAATACAGTGGAGCTATTTATATTATTGTAAATGTATATTGACAATATTTTTCTACTATTATTTATATTTTATTTTTTCAATATAAAATAAAATACTGTTCAAAAGGATAACCTGAAGAATTAATTAATAAAAGTATATATATTAAAGAATATTAAAATGTAAAAATATTAGCTGCTTTTTATTAGTATACTAGCGTCATCTAGTGGTGGATTAAAAATTTAAGCTATTCGTTCATAGATGGCGCTACAAGTAATTTCACATACACACCATAAATTAGTATTTTATTTATTTATATATTTATATTTATTTATTTTTATTGGTTAGGTCCATTTTTTTAACAACGTGCATTTTTTTAATATTTTCTCTACAGTTGAAAGTGCTGCCAAGACAAAACGTTAACTCTTTTATAAGTTATCAGTTAGGAAGTTATACTTTTTAAATCGCACACTATGTCAAAAATGTGGGTAAACTTATATTTATTTTATTATATTAATTTGATGAAAACATTTTTAGAGTAATTAAGAAATTTCAAAAGAAAAATTAAAATTTTATTACCTATTTCATAGACCGTAGAAAACTGTTTGTCAACACTCACAGTGTACAAATACGCTTAGAATTGTCAAATTCTGAAATGTGATTGTGAGTCGTGAAGGCAAGAAAACAAATAGTCAACCAATAAATAAAATATATCTAAACGTTTTAATCTTATTATTATGTTTTTAATAAAGTGGAAACTTATTGATTCGTTATAATTACCAAACAATTAAGCAAGATGTAAAGATATGATACTTATTAATTTAATTTTTACTGACAGAATTCAAACAATTTAATAATTTTACAACATTTTTAGGAGTTTTGTAGACCTTGCGACTTTAGCAATGCATCGTCGGCAGGAATTGGATGAAAGAATAAGAGTTTTTCTAGATAAATGCGATCTTGCCATCGATGGAATAGAAAATCTTAAAACACAGGTGCGTTTCTAAAACTTATTTACGGTAACCGTCACTAAATTTTAGAAAGTTTAAATAATATGTTTAATTTTTATTGTTTAATTTTAGGCCAAAAGTTTCGTCGATCACTTAAATTGTGAACCGTCAGAACTGAAAGACCGATTTCTGAATTCGATGAAGAAATTAGATGAATATAATTATCTCATAACAGATTTTAATTTAGCTGTGAGTAAAATTGGTAAGTAACACATACAGATATAATATAACACTTCTTCTTCTACCTGGCAATTTCCTAGCTTTAGCCAGGGTTTGCCTTACATGTTGTGAATAGTTTTGGCTAATTGTTTTTACAACCAGCCACCTGCCTGACATCAAGCCTCTTTGGGAATGCCATACCGGTATGACACTATTCTGTAATAAATATTTTATTAAATTGATTTTTATTTTAGATTCAAACAGCACAATAAGCACTACTCCTGTTCAAGATATCTCAACTAGTTTAATGATACCAGAATGTGTTAGTTATAACCTTCTTGATGCAATCAGCGAACCGAAACCTTCAACATCAAAAGCTCTGGAGAAACAGAAAAGGAAGAGGGTGCCAAGGGAGGATCAGCTTCTCATAACATTTTCAAGCAATTCATGTTCATCGGAGAGTGTTCCAATAACAAAATCTGAAAAGAATATCCAATCTGATATTGAAGAGAATATTAAAAAGATCTCCTTAGATGGTAAAGTTCTTGAAATTTATTATTTACTTTACACCTTTACACATGTGTAATTGTTTAATTTACATGTCTCTTGTATAATGAATTACAAAGAGAAATAAGTTATGAGAAGGTTGATAGATAAATTAATGTATGTATGAGTAATGGCCATAATATTCTATTATAAATGTTTTTATTTCTATAAATTCATCATACATATATTTTTTATGTCACATAATTGTTTGTGCAAATTCATATAATATATAGTTAATTACTTAACAATTTAAAAATATATTTGGTTTTCGTTTTCCTAGGTTAAATATGTTTTTAATATTTTAATTTCATATATATTGTTCACTAGCTCTTGCCTCAGGCTTTACTTGCTTGAAAGATCCTTTCTCAGATATATATTTGTCTTACTTAAAATATTACTTTGATCTAGAGACTATGAGAAGTTCCAGATTCCCCAGAAATCTTGAACAGGTCTACTTTTCCCATCGCTAACCGTTACAATAGAGTAGTCCTAACATTCTACACAGTCAATGTGGCTGCCGTTTATGTGTTGTCAGCTCAGTAATTTGAGTACCAACTGACAATATGTTTATGTATTGAAATTTATACATATGTGTTAGAGATAGTATCTAATATCAACCTCTAAAGTCATTCGTTTTATTAATGGGCAACTTGTGAAGCCTCCTTGGATGCTTTAAATTCAAATTGTTTCATTATCTATAACATCACTATAACTGTCAGTAACGCATTTGTGCCTGCGCTGTGTGTGCCCACTGATTGCTTAAAATAAATTCAACATGTAATCTAACGATGAACTGAATGTTACTTTGCTCTCATTCTGCCATATATAAATTTTAACATATAATAGTTAATATGTGTTTATTCCAGATTCTTGTTCTGAATGTAACCTGCCGGCCCAGAGCATCTTGCAGGTGGATAACATTTATACAGCTGCTATAGTACATGTGGATGGCATATCATTCTGGGTTATAACAGATAATCTGACGGAAGTTTGCGAGTAAGTATTAATGACAAGTAAATATAAGAAAAAAAATATTGTATGAATAATTTTTAAGCGAGCTAATTGATTAAACAGGAAGTAATATACAGGGTGACTGGTGAATTACTATCAATATTTAAGGAGAATACTCGGTACATGATTCTCATTCGAATTATGTAAAAAAAATAGGTTACTTAATTTTTGACCAAATTTCCATATAAATAAATAAAGTGTGGACACGTTCCAAGTGTGGACGCGTGCGGTGGCATGCTGATACAACACCACGCCGCCGCACGCATGTGTCGCTACCCCCAACCCCCGCCCCGTGGCTAATTAGTCGGGCGAGCGCCGCCGTAAGGTTTGTACATCCGTCTTCCCGCGCACGCCTAGCGATCGATCTTACGCGTATACCTAATCTTTAGGGTGTTCACACGATGCGTAATTAATTACATAACTTTTGGTTACCTTTACTTAGAAGTTTATTAATATTTATGTTATATGAATTTTTAGTTTGTCATATATGATCGTCAAATATCACGTCCTCATCGATATCATTCATCTTTCATTCATTCATCGATAGTAATTCACCAGTCACCCTGTATATTAACTAGCTAACCCAGCAAATGTTGATTTGCCATATAAAAAGTAGGGGTTGGTGATAAAAGAGTAAAAATTTTGGGTTGTATGTATTTTTAATGTCACATTATAAAAAAATTAAAACAAAAAAATTCCTATAAAAATAAACATTTTGGGGTAAACAACGATTATCACTTAGGGGTATGAAAAATAGATAGTAGGCAATTCTGAGACCTACTCAGTAAGCATATAAAATTTTCTAAAAATCCGTAAAGCTGTGTTGGAGAAGTACGGTAACTAACATTGACTTGGAAATTGAATATATTAGATTGTAAAATTTTGTAATTTTTATTCAAATGTCTATATGAATTAAAAAAACATGATCTTGATAATTTTGTCACTAGTTTCATGTAATATATTCAAAACATTATTTTTAAAACTAATTACATGTAATTAATTCCAAGATTCTTTTAATACGTGAATTTAATTTCAGTTTAATGACAGAAATGACCAGTTACTATAAAGAGAATTTGGTGGAGTTAAATCTTGACCAAGTAATGGCTTTGACCTACTGCGCGTATCATGATAACGAAGACAATGAATGCTTCTACAGAGGACTATTCATTAGGCTAAGTGAAGTTAGTATGGTATTCATAAAAAAATAATTATTAAAACCATATTACATGTATTATTTGGCTACATATTTTGTTATATAAAAATATAAAAAATTGTGTTTGGAGTCTCTCCGCGTTGAAAAAATGAAACTTCGCAATGTTGGAATGAAAAAAGGGTAAAAATTGATTTTTAAAGAATTTTAAGTATTTCTTTAACACAATCTTTATTAAAATTACTTAAAATTCACTATTGGTTGTCCGCATGCATTCGAACGCCGCAAATTTCCTCTCGGTCTCTCTCTTGAGCGTTAAAAGTTTAACGCAACCTTGTTGAAAGTTGCATAAGAAGTTTCATTTCAACAAAAAATTGCCAGTTATGACCTCAAAACAAGCGATATTTTATTAATATCTATAAAAAAAAATTCCTATTTTAACTAACTTCATAACCAGACCAGTAAGTTATTATAAATAATTATGCTACAACAGGACATAAAAAAATCTTCCATACTTGTCAATACAAATTAATATCAAATATGAAAATACATTTCTCATCTTGTCTATCTTTACAAAATATTATAATTCATAAGTCTAGCTTTCCGCCCGCAGCTTCGCCCGCGTGGAGTTCGGTTATATCGCGTTTCCAAGAGAAGTCTTCAAAAGTCTGGGATAAAAACTATCCTATTCTTTCTCAAGGTCAACTCTATATCTCTCAAATTTCATTAAAATCAGTTCAGTGGTTTAGGCGTGAAAGCGTAACAGACAGACAGACAGACAGATAGAGTTACTTTCGCATTTATAAATTAGTAGGGATTTATTCTAATCATAATTAATCTCGTTTATTGTTACATTTAAAGTTATTTCATTATATATGTATAATGTATATACTGGTTGCTTTAAGAACACAATACATATCTTTATATGCTTATATAATATATATGTTTGTATGTACCAGGAGGACATGTGTATGGCGGAGGTGTTCCTTGTAGACACGGGTGAGACACGCCGGGTCCAGGCTTCAACACTCCAGCCTCTACTGCCACAGTTTGCTAACATTCCACCGTATGCACGGTGCTGCCATCTAGCGGGGGTATGCTATTATAACTCCTTTCTTCTTCTCCTACCTGGCAATTTCCCAGCTTTAGCCAGGGTCTGCCTTACATGTTGAGAATAGTTTTGACTAATTGTTTTTACAACCGGCCGCCTGCCTGACATCAACCATCTTTGGGAATTTATGTAATACTAATTACAAATCCCGAATTGTGCAATACATGGCTATAGCTACACATAAACCATATAGGTTTTCCATATAAAGCGGATCTTTAATATATTTGAAATCAATGTTAAAAATTCCATTCATTATAGTATGCAATTTTTAAGTAACATGATAACAAATGAATACAATAAATTTTGAATAGATGCAAAAATTTTATTCTTTTATGCTGCTATGGCCTGCAGTGTTCGCCTTCTGTTAAAGTCATCAAATCATAATTATGACTTTTCATTCAATATCTCCGAATAATCATTAATCAATTCCTAACTTGGTAATAATGAAACTACCTCACGAGTCACGATAATGCCCTAGCGATTAAAAAATCATTTTTGAATATTATCCTTTATTTAGTTTAACAATAATTTCATCCTTTTTGCAGTTGTTTAAAAAGTTTCTCGAGTTATTATTTATGACTAAATCGATTTATCCATTCACGACTTTAACAATTAAGAGGAACAAACAAACAAACAGACATTTTTAAAATTTTATTTCTGGTTTGAGTGTTCTGTATACAAAAGATATCTATTTGATATTAAAAACACATACTTTAAATTATAATCATACATTTTTAAATAACTTGTAACATTAAAGAAATATTTATTTATTTTTGTTTTCAGTCAGTTTCAGATGAACTCGATAACTATGAACATGTAATAGAAGGAATTCTGAAGAAGTACATCGGAAAGACATGCAAGATTAAGGTTGATGACAAGTTAGTATATAAAATAGATTATTTTATACATTATATACTATGTATATGTATTAATTTTAATATATAATATGTTTACAGTACATCGGAATCATTGGGGGTGTATGTCATTGTTAAGTCTGAAAGATCATCAGACCATGAAATTCTCAACGACATCATACTCAAAGAAAGTCAGGCTTTAATAGGTAATTATACAATTAATTATTATTAATACAAACTGAATTTGAATATATGACTTCCTTAAATAACTTCCATGGCTAAAAAGTTGAACTTTTTTAATGTTTTACTTTTATAGGTCATTATTCATTTTTTTAAATTTAGAGGTATTAACTTAGTACGACTTCTATATATATTTGTATATATTCTTAGAAACAATATCAGAATTGACTTAAAAAATAATATTCGATACAATTTAACCATCATTAATTAAATATACACTAACAATTTCAAATTAATATTTGTCAACTATTTCGATTTGAATTTATTGTGAAAAGAAATCTAAATATAACACAAACCACACACACACAAACAAATATAACACAATTAGGAAATCTACGATCGATTAATCTATCACACCAACGGGAGTTACAAACGAAAAATTTATATGTTGTACCCTCCTACCCTTCAAACTCTCCTACTATATTCATACAATATATATAAACATTCTCTTATTATTATGTTCTCTCACTATTATTATGTCTTTCTAGATGATAAAACCTCTCAAGGCCCTGTGTCTAAGGTCGATGACTTTGATGAAGCTACCTTCGATATAACAAACTGTCCTGAATACGAGGATCCTCTGGAAGCTGTTACAGTATGATAATATTATTGTTTATATAAGAAAAATAACAATAATTGAAATACATAGACATACAAAAACAAAATTACTAATATATATAAAAATGATTCGATTCATATATTGGCCTGTAATACTAGCCAGTATAACAATAAAATAACTTAATTAGTACTAGTTAAATATCATAGCTCAGTTACTATTTTGCTTATCCTTATATTGTTGATTTTCAAGTACCAGTATAATTTATAATAACTAGAGAATTTGGATGTTGGAGACTTAATTAAGATAATAGAACATTCTGTATAGTCTCTCTTGACTTGTCAGAATACCCTCATAGAAGGAGACATCTATTGCTGATTGGTTTTGTTTGACAATTAGAAGAATACTTAAAACTTTTCTTTTTATACCTCTTTGTTTTTTGTTTCCAAATGCCAATAGTTCATAAATAGAATGCAAAATAAAATGGTTTATTTATTGTATGAGATGAAAACAACACCAATATATCAGTAAATTGATTGTCACCAAGAACATACTAAAAATAAATCATTCATTCATTCATTCACTCAATCATTCGCTAGCACAATAACAGTTGTTATAATGTAAAATAATATAAATTTCAGGGTTATCACAACCGTGATGAGATGGACATCTGCAAGCACTACAAGGGAGGAGCTGACAAGACCTGCTTCAAGGGTTCCAGGTGTAGGAAGAGACATGTACTCAAACATCCAGGTATATAAGAAATACACCTGTTCAATATGATTTTTTGGGTATTTGGGTAAACGAAAGCCGTTGGATAATTTAATATTTTTTAGGGTTCATCCATCAAGTTGTCATACGAATTTTCAGACTTTTCAGCTTCTTGAATTCATAAGTTTTCATATTGCTAGAACCCCTCTCCCTTGGTATGGCGTAATTTTAGTGTAAATTACTAACGGCTCTTTTTAAGTAATCTGTTGCATTAGAAACAATGTTAAAGAAAATACTAAAGTATTTATAGATGTAGATCAAGTTAGTATATATTTTTAAAATTTTTATTCGCTATAAGTTTCGCGTTAGTATTTTAAATTTTGAGACGTCACAAAGTTTTTGATATCCCTCCCCCCCTCACTATCTTAGAGATAGTGAGGGGGGAGTGTAATTAGTAACAAAACGTCACATTAGAAACTCTTAAAGGATATAATTTTGGAGGGCCCTAAATGAAGCTATAAACAAAATATATGAGCTCTTATTATCATTATTTTTCAGATGGCTGGACGTTAGATCAGGTGCCAGTGGTTGCCAAGTTCAGACCTCTACCGCTCCCCGCCCCTGACACATGGCTAAAGGTCAAGGTCACGCACGTCGCGCACTTTGACCGCTTCTACGTACACATTGTGGATGAAAAACGTTAGTATTAGAATAAAACCTTTTTCGATAGAGAAAGGAGCTTGGACAGTGGAATGAACGTTCAACGAGCTTTACAAAACCGAAACGTCGGGAGTATGTAGTTTTTGAAATAAGAAAGTAATCTGAATAATATTACTTTCAAATCTATAACCTAATTAAAAATAAATGTCCATGTATATATAGAATATTACTCTGTCAAATCCGACACGGCCTACAAGTAACAAGTAACTGAGTTAAACAGCCTTAATAATATTTCCATCATGTATATTCCAGAGGTCACGTGTCCAGGTCCTCCCAGTTTCGGCGTGGTGCTGCCTCCCAGGAATCTGGACGAACTCGTCATTCAGATGAACAGTAACGCCGCTCGAATGGCCTACAGAAAACTAACGGTATTTATATATTAATCCTACTGATATTATAATTGCGAAAGTTTGTGAGTGTGTGCGTATGTTTGTTATTACTTCACGCTCAAACGGCTGAACCGATTTTTATAAAATCTTGTATACAGGCAGCTGACGTCCAGGAATAACATATAGGCTACTTTACATCCCGGAAATCCGCGGGTAACATCGCGGGGCGCAGATAGTACTAGATAAAATGAAATATGTATCAAAATCAAAATCAAATATGTATATATTATAATTTATAACTTATAATGTAGTAGTTGCACACACGTAGTACCACGTTACATTTAATAACTTGGTATACAATTTTAAACCTTAAATGAATGTAATATAATCTATATTCGTATATCAGATAGTGCCAGCGCCGGGCGAGCTTGTGGCGGCCTTGTACTTGGACGACATGTGGTACCGAGCGAGAGTGGTGTCATCTACACGAGCTGATCAAAATGTAGAGGTAACTATATACAAATATATGTATATATTACACTATTAAATCTTCTTATTCGTCCTCATATTGCTTATGTAATATCTTGCACTTGTAACCATTATTTTAGATTTGACTTGATTATAATTATAGAAATTCATTACAAAATATTAAACCCATAACTTCCTAACAAATTATGGAATTAAAGAATCGTTTAAATATTATCTATTAATCATATAATCTATTATCTATACATATATAAAAATTAATTGCTGTTCGTTAGTCTCGCTAAAACTCGAGAACGGCTGAACGGATTTATCTTATCTTAATCTCGAAATATTCGTGGAGGTTCAGTTAAGGTTTAAAAGCTGAAAAAAATTTATTAATTTCCGGGAAAACCCTAAAAACAGTCCTTTTTTATTTCCCATACAAATGGTTTTTTGACATTAGATTTGACAACTAACTAATATGTCAATCGTTCTGTCGCAAGAATACGGAGTTTTATGGCTTGAAGCTAAACTATATCAAAATTATTGAGGCAGTACGAGGTCTGCCGAGTGGACTAGTATGTAAATATATATTATTGTATAAACAGGTGATGTATATAGACTACGGTAACGTAGTGTGGGTGAATGAAGATGCTGTTCGTGAGTTAGAGCCTCGTTTTTGGTCGCTCGAGGCGCAAGCGTGTCGCTGTGTACTAGCCGGAGTGCGTCCTACAAGCAGCGACTCACGACAATGGGCAGCCGCTAGGGACTACCTCACGAGACTCATCAATGAAAGGACACTACGGGCTCATGTCATGTAAGATGTTATTAATGTTCATAATATAGGGACGTAACATAGGCTCTCATGCACGAGGGCGCGGGTTCGATCATGGCCCTGGCAAGTACCAATGTGATTTTTCCGAGTCATATGTACCTACTTTCTAAGAGTATTTAGACATCACTGATTAGTGCATTCCCAAAAGAGGGTTGATGTCAGGCAGGCGGCCGGTCGTAAAAACAATTAGCCAAAACTATTCACAACATGTAAAGCAGACCCTGGCTAAAGCTGGGAAATTGCCTGGTAGAAGATGACTATATATAATGTAGTATATAGTATTCAATGTATATGTTTAGTCTTCAAAGTCTTATAACTATTTTGTTTTATTTATAGAGCTCGGGATTATGACGAAATTACAGTGGAACTGTTTGATGATGGGGAACGGAATATTAGCGAGTTGATGGCTGCCGGCGGGTACGTGAAGCTTTTACACTACGATGTCATACATGACACAAGCCGCACGCAGATTGTTGTACCGTAACATGTACATATTGGTATACTAATAATATAGTATATAAACTTTATATGAATCATTAATATAAGTTGGCAACACTTGGCATAGACAAACTGAACAAGGACAGCTTTTTGTGTCATTCATATACATGCTTATAATGATTATATGTGAAAAGAAAATAGATTACATATATGTATATATTATAACGCAAAACGTTTAAAAAGTCCTTATAAGTTAGTGGAAAAAGCAATTTGTTTTTATATATTGGTGTTGTTATGAAAGATGTAAAAATGTTAAAAGTTTAATTCGCAATATATAATTAGTTATATGTTGACTGATGACATCATCAATGTCACTACTTTGTACTGGATGATTTAGATTATAATTTCTTTGTAAGTTTAGCTTAAAAGCTAATGGAATTATCCACATTTTTAGTGTGTGTTTACAAAATAAAATTAAATACTTTAAGTACATAATTAAGTAGTGTACATCAAGTCAAAGTCGGGAACTGTCTTAGTTATATATAGATATGTATATATACAATAAAAAACTGTTTTATTCCGATCATAAAATTGTCTCTTAAAATTGTGTTATTTTGGCCATCATATATAGTTCATTACTATTTGTCTAATAGTTTTATCGTTATTCGATCTCGGTAGACTTTCGCAGCATATTTCTATATCTAGAACAGTGCTATTTGATAAGTGTTTATATGACTATAAAACTATCCCTACTACGAGTCAGCACCGTCAAACAAAACGAGTTTTCAAAGATTCCAGTTAGTTCACTAGTCTCCACATATGATACTATCATTATATATAAATCAAAACTAGATCGTGTTTCGTGTGAAAATACTTGTAGTAGGGAACCCTTATTTTTTGTTAATAGACAATTGAACAACAGTTCAGCTTTATAAGGCAAGTATTAAAAGTGCAATAAATGCAACTAATTGTTTAAGACGTAAGTGCTTTCTCAAACGACTGTGATACATTTTGTTTGAGTTTAATATTAAGTTTTATTTCATTAAAAATGTTTTTGAAATATCTGTAATCTTGTCATGCGAAAATAACATAAAAGTAATAAATATGTTCCTCATATATTCTTAGTTTGCCTTATATAAGATTTCATTTGATCAATGTCAATGAATGTTGTTACTTGAAATAAAAGCAAATGTGTAATGTTCATTTTATTTGATAATAAATACTCAATAAATGACTTTGCAAGATACTACATTGTTTTGTTAGTGCCTTAATCCTTACTAAAATTAAAAATAATATAATGTTGCAATAATCAGTAAATAATTTAAATCTTATTATATTCTGTGAAGAAAACGAAAGGATTATTTTTTGTTTCATTTCTGTCTCTCAATCATATTTTTTCTAATACTTGATGTATATGTATTTATTTGATATTTACCCTATCTAAGTTTTGTACCACATACCACATTATGTATTAATCATATCTTATTTGTACATGATTCATGAAAAATCTTATAATATTTCTTATATGTATAATTTATATTTAGATAACTAGCTAAATGGATGTCAAGAAAAGTTAAAATGACCAATTTAAATAAAACAATCCTTACTTGATATTACTTTTTATTAAAGATTAAAAAATCATTAACATTACAAATAATGATCACAATTCTATGATAGTTTTATTGGATAAAATCTATAAATAGAAAGCCGATACATTTGAACCATATACATTAAATACTTTGACTTAAAACACCGACAGATAAAACATTTATATGCAATATAAATATGATTTAAAATTAAAAATAACAATGATTTTTATTTACATATAAATAATGAATTTATAATTAAATAACAATTTCCATACAGACTAACGTAAAATCTTTGATAAGATAAATATTGGAAACATTTTAGTGATGATATATTTTCTTAATAATCTATAATTTTTTGATATTCATGTAAACACTGAACACAGATTTGAAACATTTAAGAGAAATCCTTATTACAATGGATTAGATAAACCACTAGAATAATGAGATTCATGAGATAAGTACATAATATATTTATATATATGACTATATAATTATTGTATGACTAGAAATTGGCTACATTAAAGCTACATACAGCAAGCATGAATATTTGTTATATACCAAATACATTGCTTACATTTATTTGGTATTCAATTCTCAGATGCAAATAACTTTGGCAATTCCGTTTCCAAACGGATAACTCTAACGATTGAAGTCAATCGCCAGTGATGATTTAAATTAGATCTCTTTGGTGTGAAGTTGTCCGGTGGGATAAATGTGGTGTAGTATGTGATGAGTTTATGTGACTGATCTCCATCGAGATCAGCTATCATCAAAGATCGCTCCTGATAATCTAAATCCGGCTGACAAATTGGCAATGGAGCACTGGAATTCGTTTTTCCCCTAACACATATTTGGATAATATCAGTCTGGCTCACATTAACACGTACGTAAGACTGCAATTTTTTGAAAGCAACTAATACAATCCGCTCGGAAATATCATGTGCTGTGAAGTTTGTGTACTTGATGAATGACGACATAGAGGCAATGTTAATGTGAGGGCGGTAATAGAAAATGTCGTGAGTATTTTTGGGGCTGTCGTTGGGTACGTTGTATCTTATTTCATCTATTTTAAGTGCACCCTCTGCTAGATGTGCACTGTTCCACTGTCATAATTTCAATACAAATCCCCTTATTGAGTTGGAGAATGCAAATGAGCTGGGCCTCATTGCATACACATGGTTCGCTGAATACTCCCAACTGACATTTGTTGTTCCATTTCTCTCAAGCAATAATTTTATATTAACTCGGCATGAATTGGGACATTCACCGGAGTTTTCGATCTTGAGTTTTCCATGGCCATTCGTAAATATTTGCCTGGTATTACCAATATTTTGTTTAAGGATTATATTGACCCTTTTAGTGAGTAAGGATATGGGTGATATAGGGTTGGGCGTGATGTCCAATTTCAGCAATTTCTCATACAGCACGTGGTTTTCAATATGTCTTAAAGCTTCCGATGTGCCATTTTTACAAAGATATGATATGGGATCATTTTCATCTAGTAGTTTTACAGTAACACACTCTGCCAATGTCATTGGATCCCCGATTATGTTCCCGCTTGCACCAGATATAATTATCAAAGAGTTGTGTTTGGTATTGGGGAAGACGGTAGCTACTGTCAGGAGATCATTAACCTTATCCTTATCTATATCTTTCATGACGATCGGAAAATCTATTGCAACAATATTACTGAAAACCTTTCCATGCTTATGTATATACCAATAATATGTTCCAGACAGCGGATTCAATGCTGCAAGCAGTCCTTCAGAGCCTGATAGTATACAGTCCTTTTGCTTGTCCCTGTTCACATCAATTAAATGGCAATTAATTTCAGTGGGAATTCTCGCCTCTCGCGTGTACCAGCCCACTTTTCCTGTGGTACCCACTATTAAAAGGACTCCGTTGACATTGTCATTGCTACTCTTCTCGATAACCATGTGGTTCCCACGATATATGAATATAAGGTTCTTAGTGGGAGGTATAGCGCCATCAACGACCTGAACAGGTCCCGATAATTCGATCTCATCATACGGAAGTTCCCAGTTCGCGGTTTTATCCTGATATCCATTCTTGGAGCAGCTACCCACGTCTGTACACGGGATCCCCCACAGAAATATAATAATAGTAAATATACAAACAACAATTGATGTAACAAAAGCACAACGCCGTTGAAGAGTCATTGTATTAGACATGTCTGACTGCAAGAAACTTACGTTGTCCATAGTACTTTCGACTGTATTTAAGTTAGTATTTAAATCATCAATGTCACTCATACTGTAGTTCTTCGAAGACTGAAGACCGCTATTGTAATCCAAGTGATTGCATGGTTCAACGTTTTTGATATCAGCGGCATTTTCTAACTTACGATCGTCTTCGGATTCGGAATCTGACAATACTTGTTTCAAAGGTGCGTAGTTCCCCCCATTACCATTTGTTGACATGGCTTGCTTTAAATTACAAGTCTATATCCCCCTCATTTCTTGAATTATCATTTTAATAAACTTTTTAGTGATAATATAAATAAAATCAATCCACTAATACTAATGTCAGACAAGTAAAAGAGAGGTCAATTGACAGAGTAAAAATAATATACGGAGGATAAAAGTTTTATTGTGTCACAGTTTTACAAAATACGTGTGGCAATTTAAAAAATAATTTGAATTTATACTGGACCTATTTCTACCCATTTCTATTAAATATATGAAAATAGTGTATTGTTTGTATTGTAAATCAAAAACTTAATTTGATTCACGACTTGGTATAATCTATGATATAGAGTGAATGATGAACATAATTGGTCCATTATCATTCAAAATTTCATTCGATCCATTCTAAGCATTTGTGATTTTAACTTGGGGGGAGTTAGACGTTTTATTTTAATTGTTCTCAATCATGTTTTGATAAACTTTTCTACACAGTGAAATACTTTTGAAAGTATTTAGTTTCGTATTTTACATTAACGTGAAGAAGAGTGATGTGAATTGTGAAATAAATTATAAACATTCTTAACAGTGTTCTTGACTTAGAAAAGTTTTTCGCGCCAAGGAATAGTCATAAATAGTGAATAGAAGCTTATAAATTAACAACAAAGATTATCAACACTTGGAGAGTGATATGTTTTTCGAGCAGGTAGGAATGAAATCGATGTCGAAGCAAAATATCCCCCACCCTCCTTTCTGACTAAAGTGGGGTCCCCCGCCCTATTTAGGGGAAGTAAAGGTAGACAAAGGGTAGTCACCCCTATTCGGAGGGGAGCCGAGCCTTGGGCGACCGACGTTGGAAGGGGAAGGGATTATTATTTCGAGTTTCTTTTTCACTTTCTAACGGATCGTACAAGTGTGGGAAACTTAACTTGCCCTTACTTATAATGTAACATAATGTTACACACTCTTTAACAACTTATTGTGTCAAATCATTGTTTTATTCAACTAACTTGTGATTGATAGAAGAAAATCATAATAAATACCAGATTTTAACCTTGATAAATCCCATGGAGTTAATGATCAAGCAGAGTCTGATTGCTAAGAGCAAGCTGGCAACAGTGAAGCGTTGTGAAGGGGTGACACACTTCACTTGTGTTGAATGCTCTGCTGAATATGATGATAAGGAGAAACTTGAACTACACCTGTTCTCACACTATCATACATATAGATTCATTTGTGGTGTCTGCGGGACTGGGTAAGTTGATCACCCTTTATATTTCATTATCATTAATATATACTAAGATTGTATGTTTCAAATAGCTAATAAATACCTTTACTTTATGTAATATTAGTGATGTTTCATAAATAGATATATAAATACTGTAAAAAGTATTAAAATATTGAGTTTTTTTACTTACAACATTACTATAAATAAAAGTTTTAAAGTACTTTATTTATTGCTTGTCATCTCAGTAACTTTAAATTTAGTTATATATATTAGGTTTTTTTATTATATAGTGTATATTATTACATATTTTGTAGGTTAAAGCGTAAGGAGCATTTAGACAGACATATGCAGGAACACACGGAGTATCGCCCCCACATTTGCCCCGATTGCGGCAAGGGATTCAAGAGGAAAGAACATCTTAACATACATATGACTATACATAAGGGGGATAAAAATCTAATGTGTTCTCTATGTCAAAAAGGTTAGTTATGTGTGAATAAAATATATTATAAATTCATTATACAATACTTTAAGCATTATCAAATTACTCTTTAAAAAAGTCTATATAAGTAGTAGCATTTTGTTAGGCCATAATTATAAGCTTTGTAATGTATCAACTTTTCCCGAAGTGTGTAATAGCACCCCCCTGTGTGCTCTGTAGGCTTAAAGGGGGCATTAAGAGACCTAGAAAAATGGGTTGTGTGGGCTTATATAGCTCACAATAATTAATTAATTTAATTTGAAGTTATAGTCGTTTTTCTTTAGGTCAAACAAATGGGGAACTAAAAAAAAAATTATTTATTCTCAAAGTTGCCAATAGACAAAAGTAGTTTGGGAACTAAGAATTTCTCCTTGACATATATTAAAAATTAGGCTTTGATACATATTCCACTATGATTTCTATTACAAGTTCCAAAATTTCAAACTTATGATTTCAAAAATTTCAAACTAATGTGCTATAGTAAAGAAATATTTAAGATTTATACTATCTAAAAATATATACATTAATTGTAAATCCTATAAATAGAATTTTATAAGTATAAAATTATTTTAGCCTTCTACCGCAAGGATCATCTTCAGAAGCATTTGCAGACCCATAATAAGAACTTTGTCAAACACAATTCAATTCTGGAGCCTGATATAGATATAAAACAAGAGGCCGAGGAATATGAGGAGTTCAATCCGATCATTACAAGTGTCATCGGCAATGATGAAGCACAGGCCTTCATGGAGGTAAGGTTTTATATATTATATATGTATTACAAATACTTACAGGGAATAATAAACTTTTTGATTGGTTTTAATTTTGAATTTAGAATTATGTAGTAATCTAAGGTATTCTGTATGCCTACTATGAACATAAAAGAATAATCTTTCGAAAAAAACCTCACCTACTTTATAATACAGTAACATGTAAGCTGTCTTTAAAGTGTAAATACGATGTTTATAACTTGGTAGAGCTACCTAGCTAAATAGTCTATAATTATTTTTAAAATATTAATAAAGTACATTGAAAACAATTTCGCATTTCGACTATTGAGATTTAATATTACATTTAAACATAGCTTTGATCATTTTCGTCCTTTAATAGTCTAATTATGGGAGTGCGTAAGAATTATTCCCGCCATATTTGGGAGGCCCGCCATATTGAATTTAGAATGTAGTCACGTAGTTAATCACGCATTGTCAATTGTCATACATCCAATGTCATTTCAGTTGTTGATATGCAAAATATCGATTCCAGTTGATAGATATATATTTTTTACTAGCTAACCCGCCAAAGATTATTTTGCCATGAAGAAAAAATAGGGTTGGTGAGATAAAAATTAGGGTTGTATGTATTTTTTAATGATACATTACAAAAAAAGTAATAATTTCGTCCAGAAAAAAATTGGGGTGAGCAACCCTTATCACTTTATATGAAAAATAGATAGTAGCCGATTATCAGACCTACTGAATAAGCATATAGAATTTGGTAAAAATCTGTAAAGCTGTTTCGCTGGGGTACGATAACTAAATTGTGACATGAAAATTTTATATATTAGATTTAACTCAGTTTTCATCCGAATATAACTGTCAAAGTAAAAAGTTTGTACTTTGTTATAATAGGAGACATCATACAAAATTAACAAAAAAACTAAAAAGCTATAAATCATATTACAATGTCATTTCCTTTCCCATTTTCCTTTAAATAAACTCTTTACTTTGATACTAATGTCGGGATAAAATACGTTTACTGGTCCGCCATGTTTGAAGACGCGCCATTTTGAATTAGTCGCGAAGGGACCTTGTCAAATGAGCATTTTTAAACTTGCTATTTTTTTATCAAGAAACCGTTTTAAGGAATTTTATAAAATTGTTATTGGTTTAAGCTTTTTGGATAATGCCTTTGCATGATAAGAAAATCACTTAAAAATTTAAATATAGACTCATTACAAAATATAGTTTTTATATTATCTCTTAATCTCCAGTATGGACACGTATAAGTCCTTACATACACGAAAGTCCAAATATTTGTGATTCTTAGTCGTACAAACTTTTAAAAAAATAAGTGGTTAATTATTGGCACAATTTATTTATATATAAAAAATTCAGTTACATTAAAATTTGTCTGAAGTGAGTAGCAAGCATTAAATCGTATTCTTTCTATCAAAATTGTTCATTGTTATGAAAATCAAACAAAAAATTAATTAAAATATATCATGAATCGAAAATAATTAATTATTATGAAATCATATACAGTCAAAACCGTTTATAACGACATTGAAGGGACCGTATATATCCGACGTTATATCCGATAGTCGTTATAAGCAATAGTCATATACACAACTACAGTAGTTATACATATTGTCATATGTAGTCACATATCTATCTAGTATAGATATAGGTTATGTAAACGATTCAGAAAAGAAATAAAAATATTTATTACGAAATAATTAGAATACAAAATGTATGTACTTGGCTGCTTACAGTTACGGGTTATAAAAAACTACACTAGTTTTTAAAGTAATCAGTCATTTTAGAATTATTTTTTTAGCACAGTCTCAAATAAATTTAGCATTTTACGTTTCATACTCAAGGTATGAGTATCATCAATATCAAAGCGTTCGTTAAAGGCAATTTTTTTTTCCAAAACTGTTACATCATTAAGAGCCTCGGAAATTATTGTTGGCTGAAACTATTCTTCAAGGTCTTGTTGGTCTTCGTGTTGTTCGTTAGTGTTAGGGTTGTTACTTTTAGCTTCTGCAAGAATCTCTTCCTCAGTAGCTAAGGCGCTAACGCGACACTGTTATCTATTCCAATAAATTCCTCTATCTCAATTCTTTGTTCTAAAGCAGTAGATCTTTGCAACTGGGTAAGGACAAGGAGCGGTTGGTCGTTAAAGTCGATTGATATCGATAAATTTTCGTCGTTCTAAGCGATATGTCGCTGTATCCGATGTTGTTATAAGCGGTTTGTATACTGAATAGTTTACTAGCAATTCGGACGGGACCATACAATCTGGCTGTAATAACCGATAGGTTGTTGTAAACGATGTCGTTATAAACGGTTTTGACTGTACTTCTATAATTTTGTGAATTTAAAAACACTTTATGGTTGGTATAAAATCTATATTCAAAAGCTTCGGTCACTCAATTATTACCAACGGATGTAATACTTTTTTTTTTTTTTTTTTTTTTTTATTATTTAATAATACTTTTTACTACTTTTTAATACTTTTCTATTAAAAATATATATTACTTTAACATGCCAAAATAACTAACATATTTTTGGTATAAATAATAATATATATAAAAATACATAGTAGAACGCTCCACTCGCTATTTAGAGTATACTTTTATCCAAACCCAATCCTCTTAGGGGTGAAGTTCTAGGGTATTTTCCCCCAGGGTATTAAAGGTTCCCACCACTCGGTAAGCAAAAAGCGCCCCAACCCATCCTTATATGTACGTCCTACAAACGACCCCGCATTACACCGATGGACCTACAAAATAACATTTCATTTTCATTTCGTAAAACCCAACAAAAAATCCCTGAAAAGGGTCTTACGTAGCGCAACGCTGACAGCTTTTTTTAGTAAGAATTTTTTTACATGACGTAAAAACGGTTTATATTCGAGCTTATAAAAAATTGGGTTGTATTGAAAATGGTAAATACGTTAATTGTTTCAAAATTAAGATGCAATGGTTGCTATTTTTTTCATTAATATGGAATTATAGCATTCAATAGCTAATGCATAGTTAATAAACAAGAAGAAAAATTTACATTTGTCTTTCAAATCCCTACTAATATTATAAATGCGAAAGTAACTCTGTCTGTCTGTTACGCTTTCACGCCTAAACCACTGAACTTATTTTAATGAAATTTGGTACAGATATAGAGTTGACCTTGAGAAAGAACATAGGATAGTTTTTATCCCAGACTTTTGAAAGGTTCTCTTGGAAACGCGATATAACCGAACTCCACGCGGGCGAAGCTGCGGGCGGAAAGTTAGTAATATATAAATATCTTTAATATATTCAAGTCTTACGGCCACATGACCCTTTCTGATATTCCGGATAAGGATGTGTATACATAGATAGATCTTCTGCTAAACAGTCGACGGTCTACTCGACTCGTTGGAATGTTAGGAGGGGGGAACCCTTTCCCTCCCATCACCTCCTAGACACTGTAACATACATATATAACATGTATATAATGTATGATATTGAATTGTCCTTTTGCTATAGTAACTTATATATCTTGGGTTTAATATTTTTTACGAACTAATAAAGATTCTACTTTAAAACATACATAGTTTTTATTTAAATGTAGAACCGTTTTATTGTTCTTATACACAAACGCATGTGCATTCAAGGCTCAAGCACACACCATAGTGGTTTTGTATGACGTATAAATTTAAAAAGTCGACTGTTTCTAGGTTTATTTCTATTGTATATATATACAGGGTGTCTGGTGAATTACTATCGATACTTGAGGACGTGATATTTGACGATCATATATGACAAAATAAAAATTAATATAACATAAATATTAATAAACTTCTAAGTTAAGTTAACCAAAAGTTATGTAATTAATTACGCATCGTGTGAACACCCTACAGATTAGGTATACACACACACACACACGCGTGCTGCGGCGTGGTGTTGTATCAGTACGCCGCTGCACGCGTCCACACTTGGAACGTGTCCACACTTTATTTATTTATACGGAAATTTGGTCAAAAATTAAGTGCCTATTTTTTTTACATAATTCGAATGAGAATCATGTACCGAGTATTCTCCCTAAATATTGATAGTAATTCACCAGTCACCTGTATATGAATATAATGAATATGTTGTCAGTATTTTTTGGTCAAGTTCAAAGTTTCTCTGTCAATTAAATTGCTATCATCTTCCAGACAGATGATCAGAATTCAAGCGAGTCCACATCCGATCAGAGGGACGTTAAGCCGGAGCCAGTTGTGGACGCGTCAAGACCGTTCGTGTGTCAGGACTGTGGGAAGAGTTACAAGAGGAAGGATCACCTCAAGATACATAGCTGGACTCACATCAAGAGGGAGGTGCTTTGTGGACAGTGTGGGAGAGGTCAGTGACCTTTGTTACTAATATTTTTGCCTTTTCCCTCCTATTCCCAGGTTTTCCCTCCTATCCCCCATCAAAGGTGGCAATACATCCGAAAATCAGTATTCCAAATGTCTATGGGCAATGGTATGTACTACCTCAATCAGATAAACCGTTTCCTCCGTTGCCCCCTTTTCTTTAAAAAAATATATCCTAAACAAGAAGAGTATTTCTATTTTTAGTCTAAACATACTTAAGTCTGGTTTAATTATACTGACTATTCTGTGTAATATAAATTATCACCCAATATCCGTTGAATGTTTAATGTTTTGTTGAAAACGTAATAGCTATATTCAGTAAAAGATTTTGAAGTCAAACTTTCACTTTATAACGTCAAATTTTTTCGCACGTCTGTCACATGTCGCATTACAGCCGACCGTAAATTACGGTAAGGTTAAAGTTTAGAATAATAATTGTGTAGAATTTTCCGATATCGTCTCAATGATTAAATATATACCGCAGTCAATGCGTATGAAAATAAATCTATGGTTGTGATAAAAAAGTCGAATAATTTCGTAATCAAAGATTCACTCGCTTTTGGTTTTGGACTTTTTGTTCTATATGTGTTCAAAAATTTTTCTTTTACCTCTTTCACTCACAAACTTACAAACCAGTAGTCCACAAGGCCGCTTGCCTCACGCTTTGCGTAACGTTGTCATTGGCGAAGTTAAATGTTATATGTTACAATATATATACGCTTATATATAATAGAAGTCTCTTGTTACCCTCATTACTATAAAACTAATGCTTATATAGCAAATATTTTTCTTTAAGTTTTTTCCTAAGACCCTTAACCCATATCTGGAAAATAATATAATTGTATAATGATTTATTGTAAAGAAATAAAGACGTCTATGAACGTAACGTATTAAATGATTTTTTATTAATATACGGAATTTTATATATTAAATCACTCGAATTAAATCGCGGACTTTAGTTTTAGTGAAAATCAAACTCAAAAATGGTTACCTATTTGAATTCGTGAATTTGCTAGCTGATATAAAGCATCGGGCTTGTTTTGCTAACCGATGTTCATTTTGTCACACTAAAAGTTAGAGAATTAACTGATTTCATAGAGAAAAAATCTAACAGAGTCAAATTTAAAAAAAGGACAAAATATGTAAGTCTTTCATGATAAAGATTAACGTTTGCCGAGTGTAATGACAGATATCTTGTATCTTCTAAAGAAGGTAACTCTCTTGAGCTTTAGAGGGCTGTATTTAAGATCCAAGGCCAGAAAACGGCGGCCGTTCCATACACACACACATACGCACGCACACACACACACAAAATACGTTGACTGACTTTTCACTCATAATCCTTCGCACAATAGTTTCAACATGTGTTCATGACTCAAAACTGTCCGTATGTACTACAGAGTGTGTCGGTATAAACTTGTGTTAGGTACTGGTCCACTTTATCTCCTTGACCGACACGACCTACATATCGACCTATCGAGTATCCACACACACATACACACACGCATACATATGACGTATCCGTGTATATACATGCACATGCATATATATGTATTACTAGCTTTCCGCCCGCAGCTTCGCCGCGTGGAGTTCGGTTATATCGCGTTTCCAAGAGAACCTTTCAAAAGTCTGGGATAAAAACTATCCTATGTTCTTTCTCAAGGTCAACTCTATCTCTGTACCGAATTTCATTAAAATCAGTTCAGTGGTTTAGGCGTGAAAGCGTAGCAGACAGACAGACAGACAGACAGACAGACAGACAGACAGAGTTACTTTCGCATTTATAATATTAGTAGGGATTGTACTTTTTATGTATGTACATATATATTATATATTGTTCTAATATGTTCCATCAAAATTTACTTTAAATTTTAAGTGTATTGAAAAAAGTGAAAAATATCTTTAACCTACCAATTCTGTAACATTTTTATACTTTCCATATTATTTAATTATAATTACATTAATTTATGTTTTGTACCTTAGTGACGTCATACAATAATATTTAGTACCTTGGACGTTATTTTATAGGTCCGTCAAGGTCATAAGTTTTATAAATAGTCCCATCTCATTTAAACGGCATCAGAATAGATCATGTTCAGATAACGGATATTACTTTGAACATGTGCTTCTTATAATATTATGTAGATTATATATAAAGAAAATGTAAGGGTTTTTTTAAAGCAAATAAATCCTTCCTTACCTTAATATCTTATTTTATGGTAAGAATGTATAATAGTTAAAAGTATTCCAAGGACCACGATTCAAGTCTTCAAGAATCATATGCTACACAGTAACTTTCTCTTATTATTATTTCTCACAGAACAGGTAATATTTTTACCAGCCCCCGTTTTTTTTTGCGTTCCGTTCCCCGGGTGGGTGACCCTTTGGGTTCGGTCACGATACACCGCCTTTCACGTAATAAACAGATATTTGAAATAAACCAAACATTTTATCGTAAAGATATCGTTTTTATTTAAAATTATCTCTATTTTTTAAAGATTATTAATATTTAGTAGGAATCTATTATTTTAGTTTTTCTTTCATATATCTTCGTATTTTAGTTTATGATGTTTTTCGTATATATATTATAATTTTGCTTTGAATGGGTATCTTAAATACGGCTGGATGGGTCCAGTAGCCAACGAACCGTAGTCTCATGAGGATGAACTACATATAGATTTGGTTAGCCCTTTGGGAAAAGGGATTTTAGAGGTACTGAGAGGTCGGAGAGGATCTCGCTTCCGTCTTATGCTTCGTGATAATTGTCTCTATGGCTAAGATTTATTTAGCCTGGTTTTAAAGATATTACCATGAATTCCATCCAAGATAGAACTATATTTATTTTGTGAACATAAACATATACAGCGTGTTTATTTCTTTGTATTGAAATATTATTGTGTAAATAATATATTGTTCTAAGTACGTACATCGAATTATCTTAACTCAACCGTATTGACTTCCCATGCGGCACGTTGTGTACCAGGTAAATATTGATTTAGCATATATATCAAACGAAAATTACACGGACATACAATTATAATATATAGGGGGCACTTAAACCTACACCTGGGTCGCAAGTCCCAGTCACTGTTGAAGCTCCTCTCCTACAACGATGGACTCGGTACTCGCACGGTGAATCCATTGAATGTAGAGGTTTCTTCGGTCTTATTTAATAATAAGATTCAAAACTATACGTATATGTGTCTGTATAGTGTAGAGGCCTGCTAGCCCTCCCCTTTGTAAAGGGGATCTCCCAGTGAGGGGGCCATGTGGAGGGGCCGGCTGGGTTACGAGGGGTTTGGTATCGTATTTATTTTTAGATGGGGGAATTCTAGTAGGCATTGCGCCAGTTTTAATATTTGACCTGGGTTTAACGGATAGCCAGACTAGAATAACAGTTTTATTACCAATATAAGGCTACTTAATATCGTAAATAAAGACCATATAAGTATGGTAATTCTATTTCCTTATTATATACAAGAAGATAAAATAATATATAGCTGAATTAATTTTAAATGTAAAAGCATATTACTTTAGTCCTCAACATGTTATTTTAAAGTAATTTTGAGCATGACGTGTCAATACCGTGACCATGTTCGTCTTGTTAAATATATTTCAACTTATATTAAATTAGTTTAAATCAAGTGATTCTGAGCTAGTTTTGAATGTCCTATTAAATAACTTTAGTCAGGGAAATTATACAAAAAAAGTTACGGACATTTCTTTTACGTAAAGTACCGTTTTACACGAATGAGAGTAGGGTGTTTCTAGTACAAAATTCTATAAAAACAGTTCATTCCCTGTCAAGTCTTGTTAAATTAAATCTGTAAATTGTTGCAGATACACCCTTCATACTTATAATAACTTCGTCACTTATCGGTCATAGCAATGTGTCTGTCACATTTGTTCCGCTAGAATGTTGAAACTTATTTTTGAGCGGGCAAATGAAATTTTGTAGACAGGCATATGACGTCATCACCTATCCAAGATGGCGGACTGTTTATTTTTAACCCACTCTTACGATATAGGTATTAAATAAAATACGTATTTTTTTCTTTCGTTCCTTCTTTCTATCTTTTACTTCGATTTATATATAAAGTATCTTTTTATAACAGATGCGTCAGGATTCAAGAGATAAACACCGTCAATTAAAAATTAATAACAATATCTATAGAATTTGCTTTGATTACAAAAACAAATTAATAAAAATGGATAAAAATATTTAAACAATATACTGATTTTTTCTTAGAAGAAACGTCTAGAGAAAATCGTCAACAAAAGACAGTATTCGTGACGAAAACGAAAATGAAATTAAATATTAAAAATAAATTCTGAAGGTTTTGTTAATTGTTTCTTATTTAGCGTAACACCATAGAGTTAATATATATATATATATAGAACAGACAGGTTATAAAAAGTCTTAAGTGGGTGGCGATAAAAAGATATTTTCTACCATTCTCGCCGTGTGAACGGTTTTTTATGTGAAAAGTGACAAAAGAACAGACGGCCTACTCGATAGGAAGTAGTCACAATCGCTCATGGACATCTGCAACATAAGAGATGTTGCGGGTTCGTTGCCGACCTTAATTGTCGAGGAAAGAGGAAAAGGGTGGGAATAGGGAGAGGGCAGGAAAGGGTGGGAACAGGGAAAGGGCATCCGGCTCCCTCACTCATCGGGCGAAACGCAGCCATTAAAGGCTACTTCACGCCGATCTTTCGTAAGAGGGTGGTACTTCCACGGTCGAGCCAGCCCATGTTCGTGTTGTAGTAATTTGACCACAGCTAGACTCTACCACATATACGATAGCTTGCCGTGTAATAACAAAAATGCATGCTGAAATGTAAAAAATAACAAAACGCTGATAAATATGAAAATACATTTATATTTTTGTATACTCGAGAAAATCTTAAAGATTATTAAGAAGCAACATATATGGATTAAAGAATAATAAATGAATAATATTCCGATCGATTTAATATAAGTATTTAAGAAAAAAAAATTAATATCTTTTACTAATACGTTATTTTTATTTAATTTATAATATTTAAGATTTAAAATACATCTTACAGATTTAAAAATATGTGTCTATTGCCGTTCTTCTTTCGTTAAGATTAGAACTCAAGATACAAAATTGGAATTCTCTTTATTTTGTTATTCCAGTATGCTTACTACAAGTTTCCATCGGCACACTACAAACGGAACGTTTCCCGTTTCTCATGCAATAACTCACGTCAATACTATAATGGGATAAGATTTCTGAAAGAAAATATTATATTATATACTATGGGCACTCAAACATTATGTAATGACTTATCCCCCATTAAATAAATGAAATCTAGTTTTTAGGAGAAAAAAAAATTTAGTAAATACGTTTAACACTTTAATTTTCCCAAAGAGGGTTGATGTCAGGCCGGCGGCCGGTCGTAAAATCTATTCTCAACATGTAAGGCAGACCCTGGCTAAAGCTGGGTAATTGCCAGGAAGAAGAAGACTTTTAACACTTTAATGTGATAACAAAGTAATGGAATCTTTTCGCATATTTAATTAGTCCTTCTGTCGTTAATCTCCACCATAAAAGCAGCTAAATTTTCACAGGCGATGTATTTATGTTGTCGCTACAAATACAAATATAGCCTTTTTGTATCTTTTTATGTACTATTTTTTTCTGGGAATTCGTAATGCTCAAAAGGAATTGTATAAAGTGTGTTAAAATAACATAATATGTATTATTGACATAATATGTTAACGAATCGGCAGCGACATATTCCGTGTTCCGTGATCCCACGGGAACGAAACGGAATTACGTGATAAATTATAATCTATGTCTCATTGCGATACATAAGCTACATAACTGTAAAGTTACATAGAATATCATTAAATAGTTTTTGTGTAAAAGAAGCAAATAAACACAGGTACATCTTCAAACTTTCCCATTTATACGAGGGGAGGTCAAAAAGTTCGCGGAATGGAGGGGATGGAGGGGGTTGATTTACTCGTCCAGGTAGTAACTTGTTCAACACCTCATTAATAGTATATATACCAAGTTTGAACCAAATCGGGTCATAAACTTTTGAGTTATTAACCTGCAAACGAGTGAATCGGGAAGAAGTCAGTGAGTATGGAGAAAATTGAACACCGCGCCGTTATTAAGTTCCTCACCAAGCAAGGAAAATCCGCTCAGACGATTTTTGAAGAGCTGTTATCAGTTTACGCGGTCTCTGCCCCTGGTAAAACCATGGTTTACAAGTGGCATGGACTTTTTAAACAAGGGAGAGAGTCCATTGAAGATGACCCCCGCTCCGGACGACCGATTGAGGCCACCACACCGGAAATCGTCGCAAAAGTAGAAAAACTTATATTGGAAGATGCCCGGTTGAAGAAGAAACAACTTGCAGCAATGGTTGGAGTATCCGAAACCAGCATTTTAAATATCCTACATCATCATCTTGGGATGACTAAGGTCAGTGCAAGATGGGTTCCACGAATGCTCACGCCACTTCAAAAGAGCGAGCGTGTCGAGTGTTCTCGCCAGTTTTTGAAGCTCTGTGGGGAGAATAAGGATGAAGTTATGGACCGGATTGTTACTGGTGATGAAACCTGGGTTCACCACTATGAACCTGAATCGAAGTTAGAATCGATACATTGGCATAAAAAAGGTACAGCTCCTCCCAAGTAGTTTAAAGTGTCACAATCGGCCGGAAAGATCATGGCGACTGTCCTTTGGGATACAGAAGGTATTTTGCTGATCAATTATAAAGATCGTGTTGTGACTATAACGGGACAGTACTACGCTTCTTTATTAGATAGATTGAAAGAAGCTATGAAGGAAAAAAGAAGAGGAAAGCTGTCAAAAGGTGTGCTCCTTTTGCACGACAACGCAACAGTCCACACGTGCCATGTTGTGACGGCTGCCATACACCGATTCGGATTCGAAAAATTACACCACCCACCATACAGTCTAGACTTAGTCCCCAGCGACTATTATTTGTTTTCAAAAATGAAAAAAAAGCTGCGTGGAAAAAAATTTGAGAAGTCAAGTCCGCAATTTCGGCCTATTTGGATAGCCAAGATAAATAATTTTTTTCGATGGTATTAATAAATTATTTGTGAGATCCGAAAAATGTATTAAGGTTAAGGGAGGTTATATTGAAAAGGAAAAATAGTTTCGTGTTAAATTTCAACCCCCTTCCCGTTCATTCCGCGAACTTATTGACCTCCCCTCGTAGTAGCAGGATAATAATTCGCGTTATAGCAAGTTGTTTTCTTATATATTTTTCGGTATAATTCTTGAAGTTCCATATTATATATTTAGAACAATACTAGTAATATACCCTTTACCTTCAAATGATTCGCATCCTGTTCTAACATTATTTTCTTATATATTTTCCGTATCTTTTAAAATGACCTCCTTTCATATTAGGACCAATACTAGTAATGTATTCTATGTTCATATCTATTATATGTTGATCCTCAGCCTTCCACACGGCGGACCAGATGTTAGTTCACGTTAACCTGGTCCATATCCGCACACATGAGACCGCGGACGGAGTGGCGCAGTTGAGGGCGCTGCTTGGAGATCAGATCGATGTGGAAGTTCTGGTGAGTAGTAGGACATACCCAACAGTGCCCAGGCACAGGGCGCAGAAATGGCCAGACTAGTATCTACTTCTATGTCATGCATGGTAGCTATATACTTATATACTTTGTTACTTTGGTAAACAACAAATAGATGGATTTATTTGTATGCACATTTGTCCATTTTATTTTTAGAGCCTGGTTAGAGCATTTTTCAGGGGCGCAGTTTTGAAAGCTCGCACCGGGTGCATAAAAGCCTAGGTACAACACTGATACCCAATAATACAAGGATGCATCTTAAATCGAAAAATGTCTTTCAGTGCCAAGTCAAGGGCAGCGTTATGGTTCAAATTTTTTTTGGACATGTGTCCATTTTTCTGACCATAAAATTGAAATTGGTGGTTGTTAAATATACATAAAGAAATTAAATACATTGTTGTCTATATCTCCATTATTTTATTAAGTGCCATAATGTTGATACATTTTTTATCAGAATCTCACTAGCTTACCGGCCAGTAACTAAATTAAGAAAGATGTTATACACCGCAGTGGTGTGATCTAATTTTTTTTATAAAAAACCCGTATAATTGCACTATCGAGCAAAAAAGCTACGTCTTGATCGGACATTTGCCGAGATCATCGCTATAGATAGTTAAGCTGAGTCGCCAATAAATTTACGTTCGATTCACCCAATCAGTAAATGCCAAGCCAGTAAAATTCAAATTTTTTTCATTAGTGCAGTATAATACATGTCCATACATTTACACGTCCGTCAGTCTTCTTCCTGGCAACTTCCCAGCTTTAGCCAGGGCCTGCTTTACAAGTGTATATCAATTTCCAGAACAACAGCTCGGGCCTTTTAGTTGAGCGTGGTGCGTCAAGTCCGGAGCGCCGGCCCCATGAATGCCCCGTCTGTCATCGTAAGTTCAAGAGGAAACAGCATCTGAAAGTCCACGCGAACGTGCACTTCAAACAGACACACACCGTGTGGTGCTCGCTCTGTAACGAAGGTATGATATATACATACAAATAAATATATTACATATTATTGAAAAAAAACTAAAGTAGAACGTACTATATTTGAAAAAAAAATGACGAAGTTTTAGTTATATGGGAGTTACTAGCAAAGGAAGTATATGTTCTGACACTGACATACGGTGAGGGAAAACATCGTGAGGAAACCTGGACTTATAGTTTCACAATTATAAGTTTGAAATCACCAACCCGTCTTGATCAAGCGTGGTGATTAATGCTCAAACCTTCTCCAGGTGAGAAAGAGGCCTTTGCTCAGCAGTGGGCTACGATAGGCTGATGATGATGACGACGACGAAGTATATGTAAATTATTGAGTAGCGTAAAAAAATTTCTTTAAAAATGTAATAAAATATTAATTTGATATATTTCATTTTGTTGTCTCAGTGCAAGCCTCTATAGAAAATATATCAGAAAAATGTTTTTATAATAGTATATATGTATAAGCAACGGCCCAGCAGTAGTAGGCTGTGATATTGCTCCAGCCAATGAGTTTTTATTCTGAATTTCCTATTTAAATTTTAATTGACTTATTATCACTACGTCTTTCATTTATATAAAATAAAACATCATCACTGTAGAATATCTTCTTCTTCCTGGCAATTTCCCAGCTTTAGCCAGGGTCTGCCATCACTGTAGAATATATTTATTATAAAGATTCATATTATAATAGCCAAGTCGTTGAAAGAGTTGATTCAGTAAATGTTATTCTCCAGGTTTCAGCGACAACAGTCAGTTCGAGGGTCACCAGTGTCAGTTCACAAGTCAGAGTCAGGGCGCGGAGTATGACTCGGTCACACGAGACAGCCCTCCGCAAGACGCTAAGAAGGAAAACAACCCTATAGACTTTGTGGAGGTTAGTCATATATTGAATAACACCCACCACGTACTAAGGTGCTATATTCCGTTAGACTTAGCTGAGCTTTAGATTTGTGTGAGTGAAAGTAAAAGTAGTGATAGAGAAAAAAACTTTTAGAATAATATTTTATTAAATTTGATACATAACATAGGTGCTTGATCGATTCTAGATTAAAATTTAAATAAGCAAAACTTGTAAAAGGCCAAATGGAATTATTATGGAAAAAAATTTATTAAGTAATTAAATTTTTAAAAAACATTCAAATTTTTCTTCACTTGACATTTGCGTTTTCAACATTTGATTTCGCTACCAGTACAAAGGGTGAAGTGAAGGTGCGGGGCGGAGTAAAAGCAGAATAAACCGGTTCAAAACTAGAAAAGAACGTGACATTCAAAAATTTGATATCACACCTACACTATCCGTGTGCACTCACACAAATGTAAAGCTCAGCTTAAATCAAACGCACTATACTATTTACATGTTAAAACACATGACTATTATGATAGTACTTCATAAAGCGTGTATTACAAGCCTTCTAATAATATATGGCACATACTTGTTGAAATTGAACTGTTATAATTAATATAGAATAAGAAGTATGATATATAATAAATTAAACACTGAATAATTACTAATTGAGAAAAAAAAACTTAATACAGAAATTATTTCAGCTTAAACTTTCTTTTGATAACCTGCTTCAGACGCGGAATTATCTAATGGTAGTTACGTGGATCTGCACTATCCCTTCCGATTTATTATATAACTGGTTCAAATGTTGTTTTAATTTGTATTATGTTTGTTTTAATATAATTTGTTTGTATATTCCAGGTGGAACTACACGACCCGTCGAACGAGTCCCGCCTGCCGCTCCCGCGGCGCGTGTACCTGTGTAAGTACTGCGGGAAGCCGTTCAAGAGAAAGGATCACTACAAGATACATCTATTCATACACACTGGGGTCAAGAGCTTCTTCTGTCCCGACTGTGGGAAAGGTACCAATTATATTATTATAATTCTATTTATTACTGCTTCTTTAAGTTATTTTTTTTATTAATTTTTCTAATAATTAACATTCCTTTCTGACACTTCCTGCCTGTTTTTGGTTTATTATAATAAGTACCAGTCTAAGCAAACCGTTTGATGGCAGATTGTACAGCGCAACGCGAACATTTCACCAACTTGGCTATTTCTTTTTGCAACTTCGGCATTTTTTAAATAATTAGATGTTAATGTAGTTACTTAAACAGAAACGAAAGGTGGTTAACTCTTTAGATGGTAAAATGCTACGTACCAAATATTGACCGATAAGACCGCAAGAAAACACAAATCCTTTGTTTTCGGTTACCAGGTGTTTTATGACCTTATGAATATGCCGCTCACCTATCCAGGTAATGGTTATGATCCCGAAATATTATCCAAGAAATGAATTTATTTATTATTAGATAAGTAAACATTAAATATGCATTTTTAAGGGGTGCATAATACATTTGGCCAAGGCTTTATATAACATTTAAATGAAAGTAGTATTTTCGGATTTTACTTCGCGTATTTATTTTTGATTACAAACTACATACTCTCGACGTTTCGACTACTTTTCAGCAACCGTGATCACGGGCAGACGAGATGTCTCGTATTCAAAAATAAACACGCGAAGTAAAATCCGAAAATATTAGGTTCATTTATATGAGTACTCGCGAAAATCTTCGATCTCATTATCTATACAGGGTGACTGGTGAATTACTATCGATATTTGAGGACGTGATATTTGACGATCATATATGACAAAATAAAAATTAATATAACATAGATATTAATAAACTTCTAAGTAAAGTTAACCAAAAGTTATGTAATTAATTACGCATCGTGTAACCACCCTACAGATTAGGTATACACACACACTCACACAGACGCGGCGGCGGCGTAGTGTTGTATCAGCACGCCGCCACACGCGTCTACGCTTGGAACACTTGGAACGTGGGCACGCTTTATTTATTTATACGGAAATTTTGTCAAAAATTAAGTACCTATTTTTTTTACATAATTCGAATGAGAATCATGTACCGAGTATGCTCCTTAAATATTGATAGTAATTCACCAGTCACCCTGTATAACATGTAATATATAAATAAGTTAAATATTTTATGTGTTTATTTGAACGTGATCAGGTTTCTACCGCAAGGATCATCTACAGAAGCACATGATAGTTCACGCGAAGTTCAAGTTGAAGCCTAAACACAAAAAGGAGGTTCCCGCCCTCGTGCCTATAGACACACTCAAAAAGGAAGTAAAGCCTGAGATTACTATACATGTAAGTATATGAATTACACTTTTACTTACAATTACATATATATTACTTACAATTATATATATATTACTTTATATTAAAAACCTGGTGGTGGTAGCCTAGTGGTTAAAAGCCCCGCCTCGTGCCCGATGGCGTTGGTTCGATCCTGGTAAGTAGCAATGTGATTTTTCCGAGTCATATGTACTTTCTAAGAGTATCTAGACATCACTGATTAATGCATTCCCAAAAGAGGAATGATGTCAGGCAGTCCGTAAAAACAATTAGCCAAAACTATTCGCAACATGTAAGGCAGACCCTGGCTAAAGCTGGGAAATTGCCAGGAAGAAGAAGAAATATATATCACCTCAGATTGCATGTATGTATGCGTCTCTTTTGTAAGTAAATATCATATATATTTTTGTTAGTTACCGTCTTATAATGTTTTGATAACGAAATCCTTGCTCTCTAGAAAAACCAGTATTTTTATAAAAACATGTAATTTTTGAAGTGAAACTTCTTTAGGAACATGAGGGTAGGGTTTTTACAGATGTAACGTCACGCCGGTATGCAACGGATGTGTTTAAAAAGAGAGAGAGAGAGAGAGCGATCGAGACCGATTGAGAGAGAGTGAGACGGCGAATGTAGCATGAAGCAACTAGTCGAGGAGTGAGTGAGACAGATTGAGAGAAAGAGTGAGACAGAGCTATTGTAGCACGCATAGTGTTATAGAGTGAGAAGTAGGAGAGAGCTATATGAAGAAAGATTGAACGCGAAAAAGAATACGGAATACCGAGAAATAATACGCGCCATGTTATCCTTTACTAGTTAATTATTAGAACTTTAGATGGCATTTGCAATGAACGCAGGTTTTTCATCTATTTACAATATTATTAGCCCTAATACAGTGTATAAACAGTGAGTGAATCTTTATAAATATTGTGATAAATTTATAAGTTATCCTACACCAAGCGATTATTCCAAGTAAGTAATATATCTGTTATCTTTTTGTTTATTTACAATTTTCTATGGTATGTAATCGGTTTTAAGGGAGGTGGTTTTAATATTAACAAATAACGTGTGGCATTTCCACTTGCCACTCGTCGTTTGATAATAATTTAATAAAACATTTGCCATAAAATAAAAATAATTCAGAAATTCTTATGACGAAATTTTAATTTAAAAATTGGAATTTATAGAGTTATCATCAATTTACAATAATTTTGTATAAATTAAAATTGGATTAGGTATTTTTACTATTAAAAAAAAAATCACGAGAAATTTTAATTTAATATTCAACATCTGAGACTTCACTATACTATTTTCCAAACAATATAAAATAAATTTATTTTAATAATTCTCATTAAATATTAAATTCAAATAACTTTTAATTTTCAGAATACAATGCCAAAAATTGAGGTGGAAGAGTGTCAAACACTTACAAATAAAATATCTGTTAGACGGCCTGGTAAAACTACAACAGAACGTTCACGAGAATTTAGAGAGCGGAAGAAGGCTTTGAAAAAGGCAGCCAACCAAGAGTTGAATATTACAAAGACTGCACCAAAAACTCCAGCAGAGCGTAGTCGTGACTATAGAGCTCGGAAAAAACAAAAATCTAAAGAAAATCAACAGTCAAAAACAGAGCAAGAAAAAAAATCATTGACAAGCCTTTCAGAAAACATTGAAAATTTTCCAACATCATCAAATATTATTATTATATAATGGGTTCAAATATCAACAGTTTCCAAGTAATTTACTACCACTGAATATTTTGATCTAAAAGATTAATTTCAACGGTCGATATGGAATTCTAGGGCAAATCATTAATTTGTTGATACAATGATTAAAAGTCTTCCACGAAACTTACATAATGATTATTGTATTAATTTACATATCAAGCGAAAACAAATTCATGAATCAAGTTATTAATAAACATCATTAATAAATGTACTATGAAAACCTGGCTACAATTGTTATTAGCTACACCACTTTATACCATGTATGAAATTAAATTTTTTGAGAATCATTCAATTTCAAGGGAAATTCTTTTAGAAGAAATTAGTGAGCATATACCTATTGAAGAAAGTCTAACTGCTAACATACACTGTCATGGAATGAGGAACAATATCTTTGCATTGCATCAGGAGAACAAAATATTCCACGGATCTCACTACTCGATGAACATGCAGAAGTGCTTTCACTTTCATCAATTTTTTTGGGTGAATTTCGGTGATTCTGTTAAGGAATTAAAGTAACAAATCCTATTATGTCAGAAGAGTCTTATTTATTACATTAAACAAGTTCCTCCAAGACTTTGTCAGTATTATATGTCACGCATATCACGGCTATACTGAAAATCAACGATCACTAGACGTCAGCTTTCATTAAACAAATGTAGATTTAACTTCTTATATAAAGTATATATATTTATAGAGAGAAATACCTTTATATTTCTTCTTCTACCTTTCAATTTCCCAGCTATAGCCAGGGTCTGCTTTCATGTTGTGAATAGTTTTGGCTAATTGTTTTTACGGCCGGCCGACTGCCTGACATCAACCCCCCTCGGGGAATGCATTAATCAGTGATGTCTAAATACTCTTAGAAAGTACATATGACTCGGAAAAATCACATTGGTACTTGCCAAGATCGAACCAGCGCCCTCGTGCATGAGAGGCGGGCCCTTTAACTACTGAACTGAAATTAAATATATTAGTTTTATAACATTATCTTTATATATTACGTATGTATATATAAATAAATTAAGATTATTAATATATAATTATTAATTCCCAGGCTCCATCGAACACCAAGCTCCGCGTGCCGCTGCAGATCAAAGTTCCTTACCAGATGGTGATGAGTTCGGACAACGGAGAACAGACAGCTGTCACTATACACCCCACCGATGACACTCTCATTATATAGATTATATATATATATATATATATATAAGAGATTTCCACCCACAAGGGGGGTTAATAATGGAAAATACGCTTTCACGTCTAAACCACTGAACTGATTTTAATGAAATTTGCTACAGAGATAGAGTTGACCTCGAGAAAGAACGTAGGATAGTTTTTATCTCAGACTTTTGAAAGGTTCTCTTGGAAAAGCGATATAACCGAACTCCATGCGGGCGAAGCTGCGGGCGGAAAGCTAGTATATATATATGTATGGTAATATGGCCCTAATGATGTCAACTCAATTATATTAAGCATAAATTAGATTATGATCTCAATTGATGTTAAAACACTTCTGAATAATATTTGTATGTGGACATACTATCTGTAATGTAAATGATTATTAATGTTATAGTAAAAAGCGGTAATTTTTTTTTCTATCGCGTTATTGTAACATTTTATTTTATGAATCAGGGCCATTATACTATAGTCTTAGCTGTAGGATATGTGTCTCAATCGAAATAGAAAACTAGTATCATATAATTTCTCTTCGCTAGATTCATACACACTATTAAATGATCTCTTTATTAAAGAAAATTCTCTAGCGATCTGTACATATCTTAAATTTATCAGAATATTTAAGTCGTTTCAATGTTCTTAGTTAGTAAATTTTACAAATCTCCCACGTGTTTGTCTTGCATAAGTAGGTTTTTTAAAGCAGTCCCAGTTTGTAATTTTGACAAAATTTTTATATAACAACGTCATTGGCGAGGTTTGTACATATTAGATATTTATATTGTGAAAGACGTGGTCTTGAATATTATGTTTTAAAAATGATCGGAACAAAGATTCTTGAGGTGCCATGGACGTACCAAATATTATAAATTATTGTCTAAAAGTTTCGAAGTTCCTTCTTGTCTTACACGAAACATCTTGTGATCGTATTTCTAAGTTCAAATTGTAACATGAAGTACAAAATAAAAATATTTTGCACTGATTTCAAATTACTTTTTATTGATCTCATCAGAAATGGCTCAGCAATAAATGGAAGCTCCTATTCAACTAATTCATACATTTTAAAAATGTTTTTTATTTAACAAAATTCAGTCGTGAAATAACAAACTTTTACATGTTTAATATATTCTTCAATAATTTTCCTAAACAACAAAAAATTTATTACAATTTAATATCGAAAATTTTATGTCATAGAAAGAATATATTTTTCTACATTGAGAAATTACTCGTTTTCTGTTTAAACTAATTTTACAAAGTTACGTATTAGTTACATTATAAACATCGAAGTTACTAACATTTTTGTACTTTGTAGTATTTGTAAGAAACTGAGTATTAATAAGAATACCTACAAAAATATTGAATACAGTCTATAGACGAAACATTAATATACTACAAGGAGACAGACTTCAAAAAACACATTTGATATAAATTTAAAATTATAAAAAATACAATCAAAATAGATCTTAACAAATAAAAAATATAACCACATATAAATAAAAATAACGCTACAATTCAAAAATAACGCCAAAGTTAATTAACAATATAATTTTTAATATAAAATATTTGATCACATAAAGCCTTTTTGGATAACAAAAAACACTACAAGAACTTCAAGTAAATATATAACATATATGTACATATAATACAATATAGTAACGGTATCACATTCATTTCATCTTGAGAAATATTAACATCTAAAAACATCTAAATTCTAAAACATAATTCAACTCTTATTATTTACACGAACAAGTTAAATGCGCCTTGGAAGGGTTTTGCGATTGGAAATTCTATGAAGCCTGAATTTATTCTAATAAAATTTAATGGAATAAAGACAATCTGTGTTATATTTAAAATATTATCACTGATATAACCGTTTATAGTCAGAATCCGTCCTTAGCGGCTGCTATGAGGGTCAGTAGGTCATTCTTTTCGTCACTGGGTCAAGAGGGCTCTAATGGGGGAGCTGGTACCGTCTGCAAAAAAAAAACAAAATATATCATGTGACGATACAAACAAAAATATTTAGATATAAATAACAGTTTCTTTGTAAAACCTGTGAGAGCGGTGGCGTGTTCGATTGTTGAGATAGTTCAGCTTTGACTCGTCGCGCGATGTGTGAGCGTGTGTGCTTGCGGAGATGATCCTTGCGATAGAAACCTGTTTATATTAAACAATATCAATATTGTAAGATTATTTTACATACACAGTGACTTCTAATTTAACATACTAAGACTCTTCATTCAACTTAACCAGTTATTGGTCACATTTGAGTACTAAAACGACAATCGAGTGTAAGTCAATAGCCAACCTTTCCCACACTCGTTGCACACGTGTCTCTTCTCTCCCGAGTGTATTATAAAGTGTAGTGTGAGCTGTTCCTTGCGTTTGAAGGCTTTCAGACACACGGAGCAGACGTGAGGCCGTTCAGGGTTGTGGGACTGCTTGTGTCTCGTCAAATGATCCTTACGCTTGAGTGCCGCGTTGCATATGTCGCAAATAAATCTACAAATATCGTCACATTATATATACATTTAGCATTTATTATTATAGTAAACACATTTTATGTTGTGTGATTTTTAGGCTAAAAATATCTACCTTCTTTCCATTGTGTGTCCCACGAGATGTTGATCCAGAAGACCGCGTTCAGGGTATGCCATATGACACTCCGGGCAGCAATAAAGAGTACTTCCATCTGAGGAAAGGACAGGATAAATCAAAGAAGAAAACGTCAATGAACCACTTATTTTAGTTCTCCGATTTACCTAGAGCAGTCGTCAATCGTATTTCCCCGGGTTTTGGTCTCGGCTTCTTTTCCTTGAGAGCTTTCTTCTTCTTCTTTTTCTTGGCCATCGTAATGGCGTTCACATTGATGTTAGAACTGACTGTGGCATTTATAACAGGACTCACTATCGTAGCTGTTTGAACGACGACACTGTTCACGACGTTGGTGGGCACCTTGGAAACATTTAATAAAAACATAGCTCAAAACACCAGATTTATATACTACAAAAAAAAAACACACGTAATGAGATCCAATACTTTCGCGAGTATGTATTGAAATAAAATGAATATTTTTTGGATTTATTACGTACGAGAATCTCATCTCCTCTTTCCGTGATCATGGTTGCAAAGTAACCGAAACGTCGGCATTATGTTGTCAATGTATTAAAACCGAAAAATATTATTTTTATTTCAATCACACATAATTTATTTTTTTTGAAATTTGATTGTTCCACAGAGTTAACTGGGTTTGGGCTAGAATATTGTTTAATATTAACACCTACCGAAGTAAGAGTAGACATAGGAGGGAGTGAATTCGTTACAGTGACTATGGTGGGTTCCTCGCGTTTGTCGGAGTACTTCAACAGATGGTGTAGCGGTAACGGTAATGCTGAGAGGTAGTCCGCCACGCCGCCTCCGAGCCAAGTCCCTTCCACTTCACCTATACCTGATTACACTCAGTTTTTGATCAAAAAGAAAAATTTATATGAAGAATGTTTTAACTAAAGGCATTACATTAAACAAGAGTGTAGTTTAATTGGCAATTTTGCAATAAATGGCGTGCCAATATATATATATTTTTTGTGTTAAATGAAATACCAAAAACAAGGTTAAAAAAAATATAGAAGTTAATGGAACAAAAAATACCATTCTTGTTGAGTTAAGAAAAAAAATGGATATTTATGTACTGATTTCGCCAAAAAGTATTACATAAATATAATAAACAAAATATTCCATTACTCACTAATAAACTCCGTGGGTACATTGGAGAATTCGCGTTGGTTTCGTCCCTCCTGCTTGATGGCCCGAGCTAGTGCTGCGCCCTCCTTGGGCTCGTGAAGAACCACCACTAATTGCTGCGTGCCCTGCTGCAGAGGTGCTTGACTCACTGCATTATAAATAAAGTAATTATATATATTAGTAGCGAAAATTATACAAATGCTAAATAATATAATAATAAGACAAAAATGTATGTAAAGTTTTTCAAGTAAATCCAATGGTAGTTTCATTTATATAACAAAATACATGTATGCATGCATTATTTAGTTTTATACAATCTCTGAAATGTAAATATGTATCGTATCGTATCATAAGTTTGCACATCAAAGGAACAGATCAGAAAACCATTAAATCTAGAATATATTATTCTGTTATGACAAACCTTGATGTTGCTGCAGCATAGAAGTCATGATATCATGGTGTTCCTCTCTGTACTCCCTCTTGTCCCTCTGCTCTCCCTTTAACACCGTCTCCTGCACGTAGCCCACTTGCCCGCTCCCTCCGTACGCGATGTTACCCACGTTCACAGTTGATGATGTCGCTGTTATACTCTGGTATTTCACACCCGCATTGACTGAAAATGTTATTTAAAGTCATGGTCCGAAAATATTCACGTAATAAACTTCGAGTCAACATTGGACGAAGCAAAACTTTCATAAAGAAATAACGTGGTTTGTTTTTGTTTCGCATTATTAAGTTCATAAACATAAATCAGGCGCACTTCATCTCACCAGAATGTATGGGCGGTATACCAGCTAGTGTGACAGATCCTGGCTGAGAGTTGCTGACGACCACAACACTCTCGGCCTGTCTGAACTTGACGCCGTCTACAGTGACTCCGCTCGACGGTGTAACGGCGAACTGCACATTACTGCCGGTGGCCTGGTACCTCGTTTCTTGCACCACACTGCTGCTAGTACTGCCGCTGCCTTCATAGCCGAACTTCGCCGCGAACTGGTGGATCGTAGGCATCTGGGACGCGGCCGGCGTGTGACCGGAGAAGGGAGCGAAGTTCATCGCAGCTTATATCTGTAACCGACATTTTCAAGGTTGCGTGCACCCCGTGACAGGCGAAAGGGTGCGGCCCCTTAGGGCGCTAACTCAACCCCCGCCATTCAGCCTCACCCCAGCCTCGCATTTCTATCGCTTTATTTTTAACCACTCTCTCACACCACTCTTTCAGATGGCTTCCGGAAAATAAATCTCGCGTAAAGAAGTTTCGGGTGAATTATATGAGAAATCTTACCTCGTTTGGGCCGGATAAGTGTTTTTTCATAACGTTTTATTACTCGATCCTTGTTGAAATACGTTGTGGGATGTATGGCGGGGTGCGCGGACATGTTGCGCGGGCCTGCTGACATGCGTGATGAGTCGAGGCTCGCGGAGTGGGCACGGGGGCGCAGGCCGACCTACACGTGTTTAGGAACTTGTTGAGACCCCTCCGAGGGTATGGGTATGAAAACACCATGAATGGCATTGAAACGGGGGATGGGGCTTTTATTTTTCCTTCCTATACCTACACCAACGTCCATATTGAGTATGGTCTAAGCGTTAACTAAAGTAAAACATCGTTTAAAGAAATCAAATTTACCTTGAAATGGTATTTATTATTATTAAATCATATTTCATATTTATTATTCACGTTTCTTAAATCCAAGAATTATTGAAAAGTACTCAAGTAAACAAAATAAATAAGATATAGGTATACGTTTGGGATGTTTTTCAAAATGAAATGTCATTAAAAACTTTGATTTTAGGTTTATTTTTTTTATAAATAATAAGAAAACATAAATAATTTTGTACTTATTTTTATCAAGCAAATATGACCTTTGATGATTATAAAGGTTTATGGCAGAATATTTTGTGCTCGATCTGTGTACGGTGACATCAATTACTGTCTCTATTTTAATATGTTTTTATGGTAAGCAGGAATTTAAAACCCGAAAATTTAAATTTAAGTTTCTTAAGTTTGACACATGGGTCAAGAAATTGATATGTAACAAACTCTGTATTTAAATGAATACTCTTGAAAGTCTTACATCTCATTAACACATTTATTTTACTCACGCCGAAGTTGATTTATCTCGAGTATCGACGATTTCAGGTTTTTATGAGTTAGCCGCTAATAAAGCAGACCGCTTTCCTTTTTCATCTAAATTTTTTTATGTTTAAGGATGCTTTAAACCTATGTGTGACCATGAAATCGATTTTATTTTACGTACTGAACTTTGAAAGCAGTTTTTTAACAATGACGACGACGACATAAATTGATGACCAGAGAATTGAAAAATTATAAAGATATTATTTCACCATTTATTTCTTTTTAGTAAAGTAATATTTAAAATTTGTTGTCTTTTATATATTTAATACATGTTACATGGTCAAAACTTAATAAAAAAACATTTTAATGGGTTTTTAATGTTATTATTCATGTACACACAACACATATGTACACACAACGCTTCAAAGTAAAACAATACTATGTATTAAGATACATTCATATCGACTATCGAGAGAGTAATGTGATTAACATTAAAATATTAAGAAGATAATTTAGGAGACCAGTTAACCGCGAATGCACAGTGTACCACTGACAAAAATGAAGAATCCATCTGAATTGGAAATATCCCCTTCGGGGCAGCCGTTGCTAAACCACAGCAGAATCGCTTTATGGGCCCTGTGGCTTGGCAGAAGAGCGGCACGTGGGACATAGTGCGGTTTTAGTCGGTAGTGCGTCCTTTTCACGACGAGAGTCCGACATAACTCTCCTTGTTTTCCTCCCCAAGCAAAACAGTATGCAGGAAGCATTTCCCCACGATAAAAAAAACGGTGACCAGTTAAGACCGACGTCACCATAAAAATGACCATTATAAAAGGTTCAATGAGAATTCAGAAAAGTATAATAATGTGAGATAAATAATTATGTATTAAATTAAATAATTATATGAGAATGTACTGATTAGAGATCGTAAATGTTTATACATATTTGTAACAAAATTGATATTTTTCAAATGCGCATAGAATTCTAAAAAACGATGAGAAAAAGTCTTCAAGTCAAAGATGTACAGTTAAACGGATATTTTGAGCATACGTATGTATATATTATATATATTTTAGAGTTTATACGAAGCGACTAGTCGAAGAAGTGTCACGACATTTCTTTTTAGTCAGACACTACTTCGTGTCCCCCTGAATTCTGTAAAGGAACCAAAATGTAAAATAAAAAACTGTAACTTATTAAATATTGTTTATTAGGTAAAAATACCATTTATTTCTTAGTAATTGTTGAACATGGAAATTAGAAAAATGATCAGCATAAAAATATTTATCCGACATTAAAAAAGACTTAGTCATAGTCCGGTCAAATTAGACATTCGAAGTTACCTAAATTCCCACCAAGCTGAAAATCGGTAAGATTGTTTGAAATATCATTAAAAACAAAATTTGAAAGTTCCCCATCTTTCCCCTGTATGGAAAATTTTTTTTCAAGGTTAAAGGTAAACAAAATAAGTTTTTCGCGATTTTCAGCAAAACGGTAAGTTTTATCATAAAATTATCTCAGACATAAATTGAAGATCATCATTTTATCTACAAAAAAATTATTAATATTTTTTTTTTCTACGAGCCACCGTTTTTGAGATATAACGATTCAAAAAGTTGTAATCGTCATATGTGCACACGTTTCCTCCCCACCTATACAGAGGTAGTGTACTTTGCGCGTTTTTTTTATGGCTTCCCTAGTAGGTCTATTCCACGGGTCAGTTTTGATCTTGTTTAATTTGAAACTATTGAAAAATAATGGATATTAGTAGAGATTGAAAAAATAAAAGCAATTTCAGTTAAAAAAAAGTAGTAAAATTTAATCGTCCGAGCAGTAATTTTCAAAATCTGCTTCTTGTTCTTCTTCTTGATCTTGTTCATCTTCAACCTGAGTGGATGTAAACTGCGTTAATAGCGATGTACCGCATGTTGTCTGGTTGGAATCAAACGGACACTCTACTGTTGGTGATTCAATATTAGAGCACAACCTTGACAATGTATACATGCTGGAGAACAGAACAGTCCAACTTTTTTGCAACCACATTTAGCCCTGCATCCCTTTTTGCAGTTGCAAAAAGTCGAGTTCAGCACTTTTTCCGGCGCAGGTGGAAGTAAAGTGTAAAAAATATTTTAACATATTATATTACAACTATAGAGATGTATATATACGTGGCGTACTCATGAATATAATGACGATTGCAACTTTTTGAATCGTTATATCTCAAAAACGGTGGCTCGTAAATAAAAGTATTAATTAATTGTTTGCAGATAATTTTATGATCTATAATTTTTGTCTGAGATATTTTTATGATAAAACTTACGGTTTTGCTGAAAATCGCGAAACTCATTTTTTTACCTTTGACCTTGAATAATTTTTTCCTTACATGGGACAGATTGGGAACTTTCAAATTTTGTTTTTAATGATATTTTAAACAATCTTACCGATTTCCAGTTTAGTGAGAATTTAGGTAACTTTACTCTTATTTTTTGGTCTAATTTGACCGGACTATCAATATCGGTTAGAATTTAATATGGGAATATTAGACTGTTAGAAATAAAATCGCACATTTTCTGTATGATAATTTAAATGAATTTGCGTATACTATTTGCCCAATTACTGATTGTAGGCATATATTTCAGAGCTCTACACTAAAATATTTTATCAATATATGCATGAAAGATATATATTTTATAGGTAATTTATAATATAGTGTAAAATGAAGAACAAGTAAGAAATCAGAGAGTTTATTTCACTTAATCTCATCATAAATAAAGTTCATAAAAAAAATACAACTAGAACCTCACACGAGGTCAATTCGTCTATTCACTATACTGACAGCTTACATTACATAATACTTGATAGATACTACGAAAAAATAGTATAAAAAAAATAAAAAAAAATCTAAAATTGGTTAACATTAAGGTTATAATTCGAAAATTATTTGTTAGTTTCATACATTTATAATAACTAGTTCTATCAAGCCGCGTTCATGATACCTACCTACATCTACATATAATGTACATTCAACTTCGACACGTTCAATGTAGAGCACCTCGTATCCGATCACAAAAACATACGACGCTTAAACTAAATTCAAGTACAAAAATAATTATATATTTTTTAAGACAAAAAAAATAATAAATTTACACCTACATTAAAGCTGAGTGTTAATATCATGTGATGAATGTATGGACAATACTAGGCTTATAGGTAAAGTCGGGGGGCGGCATATGAGTGACGGCTGGCATTCAGAACAATAAGAAAATAACATATACAGTGTCTTTTTTCTTCATATATTATCATCTCACGTGATAGTACGTGAGTGTACATATATTATGTTTAAAAAAGCAGGCTTATTAACAAATAATTTGAAGTTAATTAATGGAATAGCGAAATGATTTGAAAAAGCGAAAAAACTGCGAAATGGAGGACATAAATACCACTAGTTTCCAACCGCGGCGATACATTATAAAATTTTCTTCAACACATAATTCGCTAGTATCTATTTGACAAGCATAGACAATATTAAGCGACAGGAAGCCGGGACACATACATATGTATATAAGTATACTTTATTGAAATTTCAGGTACCATAGTGTTATAATATAAATTCTGCAAAACCACAAACCGCGAAATGATATTCATTCAACACTACATAACAGTATGCTTAGTCCGAGTTAGCATGGTCACACTACTTACGTCGCGTTAGCAGTTTTTCATTAATAATTTTTAAACATAGTATTAATGTGAGTTATGAAATGAAAGACGGTAAATATTTAGTATGTATGTAGTAGTGTGACTATGAGAACTCGCGCTAAGCATATATATACTAATGTCAAATCGATTTACAGAGAGAACTTAATTTAAAAAAGTATCTTAGTTACTAAAGAACCTAAAAAAATATATTAAAATTAACTAACAATTCCAAAAGAAATGATTAATCCTAATTTTCAACTAACCTGACAGATCCAATGGGCATTCGATTTTAAACTTAAATACAAAACTATAAGCACTTATAATTTTTATTTTCCTTAATAATAACTACTGGGATATTTGTTTTTTCAACTTCCACAATAACATACTAAACAAATGTTATACAATAATGATATGTTACGGATTGGTTAAAAAAACATCCGTAATTTTTATACAAATTCCGTAAAACATAATATAAAATGCTAATAAAAACTTCATCAATGTTCCGTTTAACACAATTTCACCATCTATTTCCATGTTACACTAGAACGTGTAAAATCAAACTACCGTTAAAATATCAATGAAATTATTATTTTTTATGGACATCTAATGAGTATAGGTACAGATAGACATATAGTATATAACTATTAAAAGAAACTAACACATACACATATATGTGTGTGTGTGTTAATTTTATTTAATTTCCAGAAAGCTTTAAAATATATTTTGTTCATAAAGCTCTTATCTTTACAACTACAAGCATTATTAGAAAGCGTTTTATACACTGTCCGATGTACATACACATCAAATTTACAACCAATTTTCAGTTAATGGAAGCGTTGTTTAACACTAAGTGCTAGATGCGACGTCTCGTCGATATCTGAAACAATATATGTATATAATATGGCTAAAAATAATATTATTAATTATTCACTATATACAGCGTGTTAAGAAAATAGTGATGTCATTTAGTTTGTATATTTTTTAATACGTAACATTGATTTCTTATTAGACATACTACATTGAAAAATTGTGTAGATTTAATAAAAATTCGAGCAAACTAAAAAATATACAATCTTGAGATTATAATTATTTTATTCTTTTCGGATGCTTTATTCTCTATTAAGATCACTATAAAACTTTAAATATAATATTCCCCGCCAAAACACTAAGGTGCTACATATTCTGGTCTTAATAAATTTCCATTTAGTGTAGTAATATCTGTATATGTTCATCATATCAACCTGCGCGTGTCCGTGTCACGTGTGCTGCGCGAGGAGCGCGTCGAGCTGCGCGTGCGCATCCCCCGCCTCGTCGTGCATGTGCGTGTTGGTATGCGCGTGCGCGTGCGTCTGTCCCACCAGGGACGACATCACGTGCTGAGGGATGTTGATCTGAACGGGGACCTGCATATTAGAACTTGTCGGCACCTGGGAAAATATAATGAAAAGACTGTTATTATATATACAAATATATATATAATCAATAAAATTCTTATTGTTAAAATATATATTAATTAATTAATAGCTCGATTGTATTTTAAATATTCCTAAATATTACTTATTTAATAAGGTATATCTTTATTTACAACTTTATTTTTAAGATATAAGTCAAGCATAAGATTATTTTGGAACAAACATTGTCAGTAGTCTCAGCTTCGTATCCTGCTATATTATTTTAAAACATTAAGTCCATATATTATGTATCTTTATATATAAAGGAAAGTTGTATTGATTACACTATTCATAACTCAAAATCGGCTGTACGGGTTTCGCTGAAAATTTGTTGAGAGATAGCTTAGAACTAGGAAAAGGATATATTCATCTGATTAAAAAAGAAAAATATAAGTTGGTACAATGCAACATCTTATTCTTTAAGGAGGAATCGATTTCGCTCGATCAGCTGTACATTTCTAATTCTGATACAAACGCAGACGAAGCCTCGTTTATAAACTAGTATATATATATTTACGTGTATCGTAATCTCGGGCATGATGGTGTTCGTGTTTGTAATGTTCACGTTAGTATTAGTGCTGATCGACTTGCTCTCCATACAGTCGTTGTTCGCCTCGTCCCTCGCCCTCTTGCTCTCGTGTGAGCGGGTGTGTTTACGGAGATGATCCTTGCGGTAGAAACCTGTGGGATATAAGACATTTTTAACCTTTGAGTCATCCTACTAATATTATAATTGCGAAAGTTTGTGTGTGTGTATGTTTGTTACTTCTTCACGCTCAAACGGCGGAACCGATTTTGATAAAATTTTGTATACAGGAAGCTGACGTCCAGGAATAACATATAGGCTACTTTACATCCCAGAAATCCCGAAAATCCCGGAAATCCGCGGGTAACCCCGCGGGGCGCAGCTAGTTTTAAATATAATAAAAAAAAATGTGAATTTTGAGGCGAAATTAAGCTACATGTTTTATTGTAAATCAATGATGTAGATAAAAATTTAAATTGTAATTATTTGCGTGTGCAAACATTATATACATATATGTTATGTTATTACAGATACAATTTAAGCAAAATTTATCTTTGCTATGTATATGTTACACTTTTTTTGGTAAGTTCATTTGTATTTTTATAACATCACTTTCGAGGTAATGTGATATGTATGCCTGTGTTGTGTGCTATGTAGATATGTGTGTGTCTACTATGTATGTCTGTGTGTGTATACCTTTCCCACACTCGCCGCACATCTCCGTCTTGACTCCCGAGTGTATGACCGCGTGCAGGTTCAGATGTTCGCGTCTCTTGAAGCCCTTACCGCACGCTCCACACACGTACGGCCGCTCAGGGTTGTGACCTAACTTGTGTCTCTCGAGATGTTCCTTACGTTTCAGCCTGGAAATTAATATATGTTAATATAATAGTTGCTGTTTTGATCATTGATTGAATTGAATGAACACATGCGATTTCTATTTTAATTGGCATCGATCTAATATTTAAACTATAAAAATTTCTATTTACGCATTTGTTACTTGTGACCCCTCATAAATAAAAACATAGACCCCGGCTAAAGCTGGCAAACTGCCTGGTAGAAGAATACATATAGTTATCGTACCCGGCGCCGCATATCCCGCATATGAACCGTCTCTCAATCTTATGCACGGACAGATGCATTTCCAGTTGATCTTTCTCAGGGTATGCCATATCACATTGTGGACAGCAGTACACGGGCGTGCCGTCCGAAGCCGTCGCTATAATAACTTGTCCCGGCTTCGGTCGCGCCGGTTTAGCTGCTTTTTTCTTGTATTTCTTCTTCTTCTTTGTTTGAACTCGGAGAGTACCGTCTGTTACGAATTATATATAGTTATTAGAAAAATTAATGTAACTTAAAAATCGTTAAATTAAAGATATATGTATGTTATTTTATATTTGACATATTGTGAATCATGAGCTGGACTATAATTAAACATTTTTGTGGCTTACATTTTGAATGATATATAAAATGTTATATGTAATTTAATGATAAGATTCCATTACAAAAAGAAGAAATCTTTCAAAAAATTCAAGTGGAAAATATATATGTTTGCTTATATTAACTATAGATACTTATAGCATATTAATGAAAATTAATTAATAATGATACATGTGTAATAATATTATATACATTAATTATATTATTATATAAATTATATAATTATATTATTATATAAATTAAATATATTATGTATACCTTCTTCTAACACAGCCTCAGTAATAGTTTCTTTCTTATCTTCCTCCTGAGTCATCTCAACATCCTCGGCCTCCACTTTCTTATTCTCGGTGGGATTCAGTCTCAGGAACTGTTGTAAGGACACCGGCAACGCTTGTGTTTGCTGTGACACATATAATTGTATATTATTATATGTATATAATTATATTATAACAGTACATATGTTATTTATATGTATTACAATTTACAATAATATCTCATTTTTATGTCTGCCTTATGTCATACATTGTAAGGATGCGTGGATGGTTGTTGTTTGGTTTGTTCATATACAATTTGAACTGATACTAAACCTATTTTGATGAAACTTTCTAATAATGTATCTCAAGCGTCAAAATAATTAAGGCTATATAATTCATTCCATGTAATTCGGACAAGTCAAACAATTATTACCTAAATTCACACGTCATACACAAAACATATCATTGATAATTGTTTAAAATACTTTCATATTAAGCATACATTGAATTCAATTCATTTCTATCCAAAGTCGAAAAAAACGATTACAATATCATTAATAAATTATTATATGTACAAATATTTTTTAATTTAACTGTCTAGATATTTAATGCACATATCTCTATATACCTGCGGCGCGAGTGTGTTGAGATATTTAACAAGAGCCTGCGACGGTTGACCGATATGCCAGGGAACGCCATCTGTGTCCGTGCCTTGGGAACTCTGAAACAAAAAATATGTAGCTTAAATCAGATCATAAGAGACTTCTAGAAGTTTATAAAGACACATATTTTTCCGAAGATTCTAAGATTTTAGATTAGAGTACTCATTTAAATGAAACTAATATTTTCGGATTTTACTTCGCGTTTTTATTTTTGATGTGACATCTCGTTCCCGTGATCACGGTTGCTGAAAAGTAGCCGAAACGTCGGGAGTATGTAGTTTATAATAAAAAAATAAAAATGCGAAGTAAAATCCGAAAATATTAGTTTCATTTAGATATTTTTTCCTTGATATATTATAGAAGTAAGCAAATATCTTGATGTATTATAGAAGTGTAATTTTCAACAAGGTTGCGTTAAACGTTTAACGCTCCGGGAAAGGGGTATAATAAGATACAGAGCGTGTCGCTCGAACGCATGCGGCCAATCAATTGTGACTTATAAGTAATATAAATAAAGTTTGTTCAAAACACTAAAAATTCCTTAAAAACAATTTCTACCCCTTCCTATTTTCATTCCAACATTACAAAGTTTTACTTCTTCAGGTACTCCACGCACAATTATTTATTTTTTTTAATGATTGTACTGTATTTTAGTTTAATTACGTAATAGTGTTTAATACAATGAATAAAGGTGCTTCTAAGCACAGTCGGGTCATAGTATATGTATAGTGTATGTATGTATGTCTTACGTCATCATTGTTGTCGTCATTACACTCCTCCTTGATGACGATGTTGGTGACGTCACCGTCGTTGTTGTTGTTGACCGACTTGTCGGGGCCGTTGATCACGATCTGGTTGTTGGGCGTTATGAATACCTGGACATAACATTATATATCTTTATACATATAATTCTTCTGTGAGTGTGTATGTCACTGAACTTCTCTCAAACGACTTGACCGATTTTGATGACATTTTTTTTGTGTGTTCAAGGGGATCTGGTAATTGTTTAGATTCACAATTTTTGTCCGCTGGATAATGGTTTTTTAATTATTTTTTAATTTATTAGTAGTTGTTGATACAAACGTTTTTGTTTGACAACTAACTAATATGTCAATCATTCTGTCGCACTTCAAAACAGGGAGATCTATAGCTTTAATAGGTAAACTCCAAAAATATTAATAAAAAAACGTAACAGATATTTCTTGATTATAGGGCGATATGAAGTTCGCCGGGTCTTCTAGTATTATATACAGGGTGACTGGTGAATTACTATCGTTATTTGAGGACGTGATTTGTGACGATCATATATGACAAAATAAAAATTAATATAACATAAATATTAATAAACTTCTAAGTAAAGTTAACCAAAAGTTATGTAATTAATTACGCATCGTATGAACACCCTACAGATTAGGTATACACACACACTCACACACTCGCGGCGGGGGCGTGGTTTTGTATCAGCACGCCGCCGCACGCGTCCACACTTGGAACACTTGGAACGTGTCAACACTTTATTTATTTATACGGAAATTTTGTCAAAAATTAAGTACCTATTTTTTTTACATAATTCGAATGAGAATCATGTACCGAGTATTCTCCTTAAATATTGATAGTAATTCACCAGTCACCCTGTATATTGCTTTTGATCCAAACAATATATATTTTATACTATATATTGTTTGGATCAAAAGCAATATACTTTTCGCCCGCAGCTTCACCCGCGTGGAGTTCGGTTGTATCGCGTTTCCAAGAGAACCTTTCAAAAGTCTGGGATAAAAACTATCCTATGTTCTTTCTCACGGTCAACTCTATCTCTGTTCCAAATTTCATTAAAATCAGTTCAGTGGTTTAGGTGATAGCCTAACAGACAGACAGACAGAGTTACTTTCGCATTTATAATATTAGTAGGGATATATAGGTCACCTGATGTTGTATATTTTGCTGTACTTGTTCTTTATTGTCCTGTTGTATCAATTGCATCTCCTGAGGCAATGCTAACACTTGTAAACCTGTCAGATTAAACATATATTTTATTCATACATAATACTAGGACTCACAGAGTAATGATTGTGCAGAGCTCAAACTATTTTATAAATAGGAATATTCTTACTAAATAATATAATAAATGCTCATATCTTATGAAGTAGATCACTGTACTATATAATAACATTGTATTTAGTATAACTAAAAGCTTTTAATTATTGATTTATAAATGAGTGCTAATTTGTATGAAAGGTGATATTGATCCAAGTTCTAAATTTTATATTTACAAAATACATCACAACACGAATATATTAGAAGGTGTATTAAATTACATGTAATGTGTAGCGGCGAGTGCGGACATGTGTTCAATAAATGTGATTATTATTTACATTATAATAATAATTTTAATCACCTGATCTTATCCTGAACGAACCTGGACACATCAAATTGTATGACTATTTTTATATTTACAATATATGTATATCTATGTATGTATATATGTATTATACAGGGTGACTGGTGAATTACTATCAATATTTAAAGAGAATACTCAGTACATGATTCTCATTCGAATTATGTAAAAAAAATAGGTACTTAATTTTTGACAAAATTTCCGTATAAATAAATAAAGTGTTGACACGTTCCAAGTGTTCCTAGTGTGGACGCGTGCAGCGGCATGCTGATACAACACTACGCCGCCGTCCGCGTATGTGTGAGTGTGAGTGTATACCTAATCTGTAGGGTGTTCACACGATGCGTAATTAATTACATAACTTTTGGTTAACTTTACTTAGAAGTTTATTAATATTTATGTTATATTAATTTTTATTTTGTCATATATGATCGTCAAATATCACGTCCTCAAATATCGATAGTAATTCACCAGTCACCCTGTATATAGTTTATAATGTTTCATTAATAGTTCACCTTCTGGTAATGAGTTTCCAATGAGTTGTATTCCACCAGATTCATTTCCATCTGGTGAATATGCCACTGTAAGTACTGCTCCACCTAAATAAATACAAAATAAAATTATAAACAAACATTTTATATAAAAATTAGATTTAAAATAAAATATCAAATACACTAAGTGGATTATTTACTGATATTTTAACTATATATAATAATGATGGCACATACAGAACATAATTGAATAAACTATCATTAAAATAATCATCAAATATTACAAGGCCAAATGTAATATAAATATTGAAGTTATAAAAAAAACGAATTTCTGACAGTACATGCGCACATAATAAATGTTGATATTGCTATATAATGTTATTAGCTTCTTAAGAATTTTTATAAGTTTATAAAGTTTTATAAAAATACATTTATAAAGTTTTATAAAAATAAATGTATATATATATAGCAATTAACTCATGTTTTTTTTCTAACTATTAAGTTATTAACATAGATAATTAATATACATATTCTTTATATAGCACACACAGTAGCATTTTTAGATGATTTTCTTGGTGTGTATATAATTTTTTTCATAGTTTATTATAGGGTAAAGAAATCTACATATTTAAAGTGACTTCAATTGTTGAACACATTTACTCAAGTCTTAAATGAAAGCTTGTGCTAACTGACTCTAAAACAGTTGCTACTCACTAACTAATATTATATAAGTTTCATTATAATAGTTATAATTGTCAGGCCCTTTCACCTTGTTGAAATCCTTGAATCGGTATTTGCATCTGATATTTTGGTTGCTGCTGTTGCAGCGTTAGATTTGGACTTAGGACTTGAATCTGTACTGTGGGCTGTGGGTCACCTGGGAAGAAAAATATATTAGTAATATATGTGTTAATTATAATATTGATAAATATTTTAATTAAGAAACTGCATATATATAAAATTCTAATAATAAATTATGTAATACTGTGGCTTTAATTGGTGTTAGCATTTTGATATATGGATACTTAAATCTTTATATACTATAAGCATGAAGTATTAAATTATTCTTAATAACTTATAATTTAGTGTAATTTATATAATTTTTTCAAACAATCTCATACCAGGTTTAGTTCCAGGTAAGGCAATCGGCACTGATATAAGTTGAGGCCCAGTCTGTAGTGATGATGAATCGATAGCTCGTACATACTGCACACCTTCACTCATGTTCACTCCGCTTACCATTCCTACAACCTGAAAGAATATTTTTTTATAATGCCAGTTTAGTATGTACTGCCAGTAATAATTAGACTGCAAAAAGTTTTTATAATAAAAAAAATCAGAATCTTTTTAAAGGTCGGCTCAGTGTAAAAAGTTTTTATATTAAATAAAATATATGATATAACTACATCTTGTTTTAAAGATTCAATCTATGACTTCATTGGTGAAAGTTACAACCTTACAAGATTGTATTGTTCCTTTCAGTTAAGACACCATAAAAGCTTAAATAAATTTCTTTTAAACTAGAAATATATACTCAGGCAAGTATTTCAGTCCTTTTAATATTAATGTTAACACGTAGAAACCTATACTTAGACCTATGAGTAACTTGAAGTATTTCCTCATTAACTCTATGGAAGTATATACATATATATGTTGAATCATCAGTGTATACCTGTGACAGAGGTGTGCCATTATTGGAGACGTTCTGTTGTAATTTAGTGACGGGCAACTGTCCCCCCGATGTCACAAAATGTGTTCCCGTTGCACCCACAGCCGAGAATGTAGTGAAATTCATATCTGAGTCCTCGTCGCTGTGGATAGCATTAATTGTTTGTTTATTTAATGAAATTGTCTTAAAAGTATGTAATTTAAATCTAACTATTACAGATATACTCATTAATAATTAATGCAACAAAATAAAACCATCAAAAGCTAATGATAAAAACATATACATGTAGGTCAATTCTGAATAAAAAAAAACATAATAATTAAAATTCATTCTACATCATAATATCCCTACCAAGACGCATCGTCTCTTGTTGGCATTTTCTGCATATCGCACATATTCAGAATACTTTTCCGCCGTGGCGGGAGAAAAATAAGAAAAAATCACTGTCCCACTGAGTCATTCGATATCCCCACGTCACTCAACCACCACCACGGCCGGGATTACAGTCTGTTCCCGATGGTAGGGCACATACCACTCACGAACACCAGACACTACACACTGAATAGCGAGAGGCGAGATTATGAAAGTGGGTTAAAGAAAGTTTGTGCTCCGACTGGTTGGCTGTGTGTCGAGTATGGACGTTTCATGTTCTAACGTGATCCTCACTTTCTCTTTGCCGTACTTTCACAAGCGAGGTGTGGTTTTGGTTCAACGACTGTAGGAAGCCTGTTAGTTGGGTAATCATCTTATTACATGCTTCTTGAATGTCTTGACTCGTACCTATTCAATGTATCGAATACATACAACGTTCAATAAATTTTTGTTAACTTTTATATATCAGAAATAAAATTTCATATAACTGCCGGTGATGGACACTTTTCTTTGTTTACTTAATCCGTGAGAGAAATTATAATGTTAGATTGTAATGTTTATTGCAAGTACGAAGCTTAATATTGATTTACAAGGCCACCGATATATTATAAAAATAGCCTTTAGATCATTTGAACTTTGGTACAAGGTCGCATCGATACGTACGAAGTATGCGACAGGGACAAAGAAAATGTGACAACAATAAATTCCATATAAAAACCCAATTATGCAATGTTGCTGTTAATATGTTTTAATTCATAAAATCTTTGTTTGGGTCATAGGGTTGTAGGCGGCTCATACGGAAGATATGAGGTTGTTAACCCCTACCAGTTCTTTAGGCCCGGCTGAGTGTCCATCACGCGTCGTTATACGCATCCCCACCAAGATACGGGATCCCCTCCATATGCTTTTAATACTACACCAAATCACTCCCGCTCTCGGCTCTTTCCACCACCTCCAGGGAAATCCGCGAGAGGAGGGGTTGTACGGCCCTCTTTACGGCACTCTCACGAGAACGCTCAGGGACGGCCACGCGCCCGTCTAACGGTACAATAAAGTACCGCTTTCGAAATAAGGTCACGGATATTCACACGTTTAAGGCAAAATCACAAATAAATCACTTACCTATACGGATAAAAAGCAAATTAACAACAAAATGTTTCGGAAAAAATCATAAATTAAATCACGTGTAGTATTAATAAACTTCCATTAAATACGACTTAAACTTTTACGTTTCCACTCTTTACAACAAATGAAATCCGCCATTACTGTAAACTGTTTTAGTGTTTGGCTAAGTTGACGTGAGATGGCGCACAAATAGTTTGACATGATTGGTGAATAGTTGAATGAATGATATAATTTTAATACATTGATGCAGATTGCAGTTGCACATTATCGCTTGAATATAAAAATATATTTTTGAAAAATTATTATTTTTTTGTTTGTAGTAATAGAATTTATTTTTTAATTAATTAAAATGTCTTTTTTAATATTAAGTCAATATATAAATACATATTGCACTTTACGAAACAATGATATAAATTAACAAGAAGGCATAATTAGTATTCTGACTAAAGCTCGAAAATTATAGATATTTTTAAAATTTAGTACAATTTTACTTCATATTACATTTTTTTTATTCATTGAATATATCTGCGAGTTTATAAATATAATTTACGTTGGGTTGTTATTTTAGTTTTCCATGTTACTTCTGATATTGCTTACTTTTTTAAAACGACAAAGTAAGAAATATTTAGATAATTTTAAAAAAGTTTAGTAAAAATTAAGTTTAAAAATCCTTACTAACGTAAAGTCATACAATGCCATGGAATTGTTAATACAAACAATACATTACTGATTGAAAGTGATGGACAAATTATTATTTACAAATACCTGTACAGTTTTGGTACTATAATTAATGCATTTTTAATATAACATCAGCTAATATTAAAAATACATTAACATATTTAGAAATATTTGAATATTATTACAGGCATGATGGCTAAAATTTATAAATATCTAAGCTTGTGAGTGTAATGGTGAGATGTTCCTAGCTATTACACAAAAAATCTACTGAATTCCTATAAATGAAATTCAATTATTCGTTTGTTAGCCTCAATCCATATCAAATTTGGACAAATTTTAAAGTTTTTACTACAGAACTACTACAATTTGAAATCATGTTATTTGTTTGAAACTCTGTTTATGAGCAATTTCGTGAGAAGTAGCTGATAAATGACAGAAATGTTGACATACAAATATTTATTAACACATTCAAATCTAATAATTAAATACATTCTAGCGGACATTACACAGGTAACAATGACAAAGCTTACAAAACTATTTTAAAACGGAAACTGCTGCCCAGATCTTTGTATCCTCTCTAAATGTAATTCGAACAATAATTTATTTTCATAATAATATCTGCTATCCGTTGAATTGATTCCAGGATCATAACTCGGTCTCCTTTCCGAGTCTGATGATGAACTTGTACCGTTATCCATGACATCAGTAATTCCGTTACTATGACTAGAATCTGATGATTGTGACGATACAGCATTTATATTATTATTTATATGAAGATTATTAATCCTTTTTGATAAAGGCATAAACTCACAAGAGTCATCTTCACGAGATCTTTTCCTGAAATTAAAATAAATTTATATGTTACTCTATATATAACAGTGTATAAGTATAGTTTTCATATTAGTACTATTAGAATATGCTTAAACCTTTTTGTACCTATTTTCTGTCATGGTTCTGAATAGAAAATGCACATTGCTTTCAATACTTCTTTTGTAAAAATTTATGTCTAAATCAGTGTAAAACATGTGTAACAAACATGAGTATTGTTTACATATTTTTTATGTATGTTATCTACAATTAAAATGTTTAGTTATAATTAAACTTTTCATTAAAAATAACGTATTTGTCACCAATATGACACTCACTGTGGCGATCAGCTGTTTACTTGCGATTAAGTTCAAACTGGCAACATCCATAAATAAAGAGAATAAATATAAATAATGAAATTAAATTTTAAAGAAAAGAGTGTATATGGTCTGGTTTCTCATAAATATTAGTATATTTTCTAAATATTAAAAAAGTATTATCTATAATTAATGCAAGTTCCGAAAATACATATAGATGGCGTAAATTTGAAACCATATGATTGTCAAACTGAATGGGCAACAATTAACATCATATTTAAGTCAACCATTTATTTGATCTCCGAATTCTAGTAATTTGCTTGCTTTTTAGAACAGAATGTTATTCAGAATTAAATTTATTTGAAAAAACATACATTAAATATTGATTTCCATCTGACATTAACCGGCACTAAAAGTAATATAGACATTGAAGCGTAGGAGTAACGATTATTATCATACCTAGATGGCGCTAGATGTTCTAGTAAAACGTTAAGTATTCGGTTGCTATGGTGTATGTTGTGCATAGTCATAAGACATAATTAACCACAAATAATTTTAGCAACAGTAAGGTCAAAAAAAAAAATTCAAAATAATAAATGAATCGAATCAATTCATTCGCTCCGAGTTTTAAATCATCATAAACATGAAAATGTGTTTCAAAGTAATGCCAACAAATTCGTAAGGGTTACATTAAATAAATATAATTTTATCGGTCGAAGTCCTTGATTTCGATTTTAAAGCTACTTCCACAGCAATAACATGACAGTTTTTAATTATACATCGGTAAAACTATTGCGACTATTCATAAATATTATACTTTTAGCAAACTTATCGGGAATTTAATACTAAAATGGCGTTGTATCTGTTATTATAACTGTTTAAATTTATCAACAACTATAAGTAATTTTCGGTTTTTATCAAATTTCCGAACTTTACTCGTTTTAAAAGATATAATTAACGTGAAAAGCATTACACTTCTCGAGTTGTTGTCAACATATTAAGATCCAATTGCCGCATGGGACTTTTATGGACACTTGGACGTTACAGCCAGCCCAAATATGGTCGATCTGAACGAGAGCACCCATAATATACAAGCCGCTAACCTTAAATTATTTATCAGAACAAACATCTACCAATGAATTCATAAAAATAATTATATTAAGACTAAAGTACATATTGTATTATATTTTATTTGAAAACTTAATACTTTCTTATAAGAAAATTTAGCTTTACATTCATGGTGTTATAATAAATGTACTTTCTATTAAATTAACATTTTGGATAAAGTAAATGTTTTTAGCTAGTTAACATACATTAGACTTGTATTTTAATTAATTATGAGATTAACGTTCACCAGTTTTAGAATTTTAACTAGAGAGTTGCTGTTGCTATTAATTAAAATTATTAACTTAATATTATGGTCGGTCTACATCACGTCTTGTCAGGGTTGTCGTTAGAAATTATTGTTTTACTACGATTATAACAATATAGAAAATAAATCAAGTTTATTATTTACTTTTATAACAAGTTTAATTTATTATCATTAATCTTTAACTCAATTATTTTGTTAATTAACATTAAATAGTCGATACTTGTTTAATTATTCAGTAGATAATATATTTCTGAGGCTGTATAGTGTATACAACCCTGTGTACGAAATCTGTCTTATCTGTGGAGCGCATCGATGCGTTACCGTTTACGCTTATCCGTTCTGCTGCGGTATTCGCACCAAATATGGCGGTATCCTCCAACAGACGTAGGATAAAGGCACAAAGCGTGGCCTATATTTCATTGTAGTTTACTTCCTATCAAACAAATGGTCCGTGACTGTTGCTACATTGTTATTCGAAGTTCAATTTGTTTACAAAAAATATAGTCAAATTTATTTGAATGAATATTATTTATTTATACAGGGTGACTGGTGAATTACTATCGATACTTGAGGACGTGATATTTGACGATCATATATGACAAAATAAAAATTAATATTACATAAATATTAATAAACTTCTAAGTAAAGTTAACCAAAAATTATGTAATTAATTACGCATCGTGTGAACACCCTACAGATTAGGTATACACACACACTCACACATACGCGTGCGGTGGCGTGGTGTGTATCAGCACGCCGCCGCACGCGTCCACACTTGGAACACTTGGAGCGTGTCCACACTTTATTTATTTATACGGAAATTTTGTCAAAAATTAAATACCTATTTTTTTTACATAATTCGAATGAGAATCATGTACCGAGTATTCTCCTTAAATATTGATAGTAATTCACCAGTCACCCTGTATAATGATATTCGCCATTTTATAAAATTATAATTGTCTAGGTCATATACATATGTAATACTAAAATAATGTCACTATGTACAATCATTGAAAAACAGTCAATAATTTAAAATTAATAATAAAAATCTAATAGCCTAAAAAATTACAATTTACAATTAATTGAATGAAAATAATATGTAATGAAAGTCTTAATAAAAAAAGATTTAGTCTATACTTTTTTAAAATAATAATTAGTATGTACCATAAAAGCATAGACAAGTAAAGTCGGGCTACATAATATAATTGCGCCAGTTCCCTTGAGTATGGAAGGTGCTTTGCTTTCGTGTTCTCAGTCTTACTTTCTCTATTCATACATATTCTTTTACTTTCACGCGCGTCTCGTTGAGAACCGAGATTGTTCACAACATGCTTTATTTTGATTCCACATTGTATTATAAACATGTAAATCTAATAAACTTATCTCCGCTTCGAGTTAGAGAAAGCATTAAAAACATATGCAATGCTATATTGTTAAAGTTTTCATGAAGTCAAAAAACTTAAGATTGTTGTATAAATCGCAGATATATTAATTGAATACTTAATTTTTAGTTATTAATATGACAACTGTACGCAATAATTATACTTTTAAAATAGGTTTTTTTGTAACAAAATATTATATCGAAATAGAAGACGGTTGAAGATATTGTTTGATTATTTTGCATAAAAAATAATATCGCTGTTTAATATTTTACAAGAAATAAATAATTTAAATCCAAATAATATGTTTTCTTATTAATTTTATGAGCAAAATACCATATGGCAATGAGATATAAATTTAAATTGTAACTGTATCTTCAAATTGTCTGTTTTAAAAAGTTACTGAAATAAATTTTATATGAAAATGTTAACTGTAAAATTAATCGCGTTATGCTAGCTTGAACATAGATTTCAAATGGACGAACGGTATTGTACAGTTGCTAACAAGTAACACTATCACACCGGCTGTCTGCTTCAGATAATTAATTAGTATAATCACTACAACGACTTGAGATAAAAAATATAAAACCTCTTTCCTTTGTCAGGCCCATATGAAAGTAGCGGTTGAGGCGAAAAAAGAAAAAGAATACCAATAACTGATTTCTAAAATCAACATAGAGAAATTTCATACAATAATAAAATGTTTCATTATTATTATCTAGACCACACGTGTTGAGCCGACGTGTTGATGACGTAGCCGTGTTAACAGCCAGTATTGTAACGTTCGAAATTTGAAACAAACGTCTTTCGCGAAGGTCAATTCGACGTGGAATTTAAAGACGTGATGTTTGTTATTTTGTACATCACGTCATCGCTTATTATGACATTGTTTATTTTATAATATGGAATATTATCTGCGTTACACAGTCCTAAGCTTTATAATGCGTCGAATAAATGAACCAACAAATTATATAAAATTATTATATCTAAAAAAATAAAACAAAGGTTACTATTTCTATATTGTCTGTGTTGTTAGTTAGTATATGTATAACTTATTGAAACAGCTAGTGGACATTTTTATGTTATATGCATTTATATAAAAATATACATATCTGCATGTTTTTCTATATCCGCTACAAACGATAGACGCTGTGATTTGAATTTCAACTCGTAACGGACATACAACGACCTCAGCGGCGGACTTAATTTTTTATCGCGATAATTTTCAACGGCCATTTAAAAATCTATGAATCGTGTATCTTCACAATATAATAATGTTGTTCATTTTATAAGTATTATACATTAAAAGGGTATATTTCTCCATAATTCTGGGATATATTTATGTTTCCTGTTTTTCAAACTTCCATAACCTTAGTTCCTGGCGACATGCAAAAATGAAAAAATACACAAAGCAGGTTCTTATACTTATTCAAAAGATGAACGAACATTAAAGGAATGTGAAATATGAAGTGACTTCTTCAAAGCTAATGTTTAAGCGTTTTTAATTTTCTCAAGTAAGAATTATAATAATTATATGAGCAGCCTTTCTAATACAGATATTATAAAAACGAAAATTTCCAAATACTGTTATTATAGTTAGAATATATTCACTATTATACAAATTAGACTTTAATATATTTGTCTGAATCTTTTACAGTCTTAGGTGATCAGACTGCCAAAAATCTAGTTGCTTTCAAGGACAAACGTAGTTCAACGGTCAATAACTTCTCTACAGTTGCCGCTGATGCAAATATATTATAATTAATATTTGAACCGACATATTATAGTTTTATTCCAACATAATTTATAACGGGTTTCTTGATTTAAATGAAACTAATATTTTCGGATTTTACTTCGCGTTTTATTTTTGACTATAAACTACATACTCCCGACGTTTCGGCTAATTTTCAGTAACCGTGATCACGGGCAGACGAGGGAAACGTCGGGAGTATGTAGTTTCTAATCAAAAATAAAACGCGAAGTAAAATCCGAAAATATTAGTTTCATTTAAATGAGTACTCGCTAAAATCTTCGATCTCATTATGGGTTTCTTGATATTTGTTTCCCTGTAATAG